CTGACCATTAACTGGCCGACAGACTGACTGACTGATTGACTGACCACTGTGAAACAATGTAAACACTCCTAGATTTCTAAATCCCCCTTCAAATTCACATCTCACTTTGATGGTGTGAATGTAGTGACCAAACCGGATTTTCAAACTTGACCATAGCAGATAAAGGATTGGTGTCGTGTGCCATTTCCTATCTTCTCCGATGGAAAGGATGCTTAAGACAAGGTGGCAACTGGTCAAGAAGGATCATTAATTTTCTTTAAGAAGATAGAAAGGGATTTTACTGTGACAGAAAAAATTAAGAAAAAAATTTCGGAGAAGGGGTCTCCTATGAGAGAAGAGCAGAGAAAGAGATGAAGATCTTCCCACAACACAGCAGATACTCTGAAGGCGTTCTCATGGAAGACAAGAAGGCCTCTACTCTACTCAAGCAGAGTAGAGACTTTTCTCAGAGAAGAGGAGAAGCTCATGAACAAAACAAAAGCTCTTCTTAGAGAAGAGTAGAAGCACTGCTCGGCGAATAGGAGAAGGAGCTGAAGGTCTTCTCACAGAAGAGCTGAAGGTCCTCTCACAGAATAGCCGAAGGTTCTCTCATAGACGAGCCGAAGTTCTTCTCCATAGAAGAGCTGAAGGTCTTCTTCTTCTCCATAGAAGAGCTGAGAAGGTCTTCTTCGCCATAGAAGAGCTGAAGGTCTTCTTCTTCGCCATAGAAGAGCTGAAGGTCTTCTTCTTCATAGAAGCGGAGCTGAAGGTCTTCTTCTTCTCCATAGAAGCGGAGCTGAAGGTCTTCTTCGCCATAGAAGAGCTGAAAGTCTTCTTCTCCATAAAAGAGCTGAAGGTCTTCTTCTCCATAGAAGAGCTGAAGAAGGTCTTCTTCGCCATAGAAGACGAGGATGTCGTCCCACGGAAGGCGAGAAGGTCTTCTCGTAGAATGCGATAAGGTCCTCTCGTAGAAGGCGAGAACGTCTTCTCATAGAAGACGAGGAGGTCTTCTCATAGAGGACGAGTAGGTATTCTCAGAGAAAACAAGAAGGTCTTCTCGGAGAAGAGCCGAAGGTCTTCCCATGGAAGACGAGAAGGTCTTCTCATAGAAGACGATGAGGTCTTCTCATAGAAGACGAGGAGGTCTCCACATAGAAGATTATGTGGATGAAGGTCTTCTCGTAGAAGACGAGAATGTCTTCTCGTAAAAGTCGAAAAGGTCTTCTCATGGAAGACGAAAAGGTCTTCTCATAGAAGATAAAGAGGTCTTCTCATAGAAGACGAGGAGGTCCTCTCATAGAAGGCGAGAATGTCTTCACCATAGAAGACGAGAAGGTCTTCCCCATATTAGGCGAGAAGGTCTTCTCATAGCAGACGAGAAGGTCTTCTCATAGAAGATGATGAGGTCTTCTAATAGAAGACGAGCGGAAGGTCTTCTTATAGATGAACGGAATTCTTCTCACAGAAGTGCGGAAGATCTCCTCGCTGTAGACTAGAAGATTTTTTCATAGTGGAGAGAAAGTCTTCTTAGAGTAGAGGTCTTCTCAGCGAAGACGAAACGCCCAAACAAATGTCCTTGATTTTGAGTCAAAAAGACAGGCTTGAAACCACTTTGAATTCAAAAATAAGAAGTTTTGGGTTGTCGGAGGCGCTATCAGACGGAATGGCTTCCACACATGTCTAGGTTTTTTTTTTTTTTGTTTTTTCTTAAGTAGCAAAATGGGAAATGATTCCAATTTGTTTTGACAAACCATGTGCTTTCTGCCTTTAAATATCAATTGGGCGCCACATTCGTATTATCTGAAGAAAGAAGAGTAAAAATATTAGTCTACTACGGCTCACATGTAAAAATGCATTACAGAAATACTTTTTTTGACAACGAACTTTAAAGGAGTTAAATTTGGTGATTTCCAAAGCAATCCCTCGTGCTAGCCTATAAATATTAGAAAAAGTCCTATTGGCCTGTTGTCTAATGCAAAGGTTGTAATTATTAACCCTTTCCACGAGGCTGAGAATACAGAAATTTCAAGAAAAGCCGACCCGTTTTTATCTATGGCTTGCCAAGACATTAAAAACAAATCAATGACCATTGGGCGTCAAGTTCAACTTGCTTATAAATATATTATCAATCCGCCCATAGTTTATTCCGTTGTGTTTTTCAGTAGGGCATCACAGGTGAAAATCCCTTACAAAACTCACAACACCTCTAAAAGATTATTTTACACTTGCACCTAATAAACACCTTCCCATACTCACCCTCACCTCCATTTTACCCATGTCCTAATCACTGACCTTCATCTACAAAAAAAGCAATAAACTCCCTCAAAATAGCTATACAAAATTCTACCAAAAAAAGATTCCTCAACTCAAATACCCCCGAAAATCCCCTTCCACTATTTCCTCACACAAAGGAAAACACAAAAATATATAACTTCACTCTCATTCCACGAAATACATAACAGTTCTATATACCCAAAAAATCCTCGCACTCTCATTGGTAAAAACACTTCGGGTTTTTAGCAAAAAAATATGTTTTTGAACAAAAAATTTGCATTTTTCCTCATCATCATTGGTTGGATGGCTGTCGGGATAACGAAGAGTCCCAGACGGGAATGGAAAAAATAGACAAAACCAAAAAAAAAAACAACCCAAAACCTAACCTTATTATGAGGCACAAAAATTAAGGGATGAAATGGGCACATAAATCCCATAGAAAAAAATACATTAAAAGTACATTTCATACGAACAAGAGCAAAAACAACTACAATACATAATGAAAGGACACTGTGGGGGGAGATATCATAACAACCCCGTTTGCTTTTTTTGCAGGAAAGAGAGTAGGATTTGTGCTGGCCACCAAGTATTGCAATAAATTTAACAAAAAGAGAAAAAATAGACAGGACATTAAGAGAATATCATTTAAGAGAGAAAGTGAAATCATATCCGCAAACTTTGGAATATCTTCTACGAAAATTTAGTTTTAATTTTTTAATCGAAAATTTGTTTTTCTATAGAAAACATAAAGTCGATATATAGGCGTCAGGGAAATCCGCTTATAAAAGTAAAAAAATTACTTTAATAACCCCAGGAATTCTTCTCATAAGAGTCCACAGTGTCTTTTTATATAAGGTAAGCAAATCTGATCTCAAAAGACATATATTTTTTATAAAAAAAAAACTGTATTTTTCAGCGAAAAATCCAAATATTTTTCCCTGGAGTAAAATCTGTGGTTTATTGTTAGGTTTGTGGCTGTATAAAATCTTATCCAATACACAAACCTCAAATCCATTCACAGAAATTACGCACGAATTTTTTTAAGGTCGCACTTAATGATACCTATTTTTAAACAGCTGTTATCAATTCACTTGGCGTGACACATTTTTCTTTATGAGGCTTGATTTATATTACATTTTAAATATTCTTCTCATTACAATACACGTCTAATACCTGAAATATTAAAATTGTAACAATTATGAAGAAGACAAGAATGCCTGTACATAGAAGTAAAGAAAATCTCCTAAAGATAAGAAAAGTTAATACATAAACCAAAGAACGTGTTCTCTCCTTCTGGAATGAAGAAGTTTTTTGTACCATCCCATGGTAGAAGAATACAGGGAACATTGATATGTAAAAAAAGAAGAATACAGGTAGATGCATCAACGCTTGGGAGCATTGATATGTCAAAAAAATTAAATGTTTTTTCAAATATAAGTAGATTTTTATATGTTTTCTTATACTACGACATTCGGAGGCTAATCCAAAAAAGGAGTTTCTTCTAAGTACTTTACCCCCTGAAAGTGTATTGTCCACGATATCGTATATCCCCCATATATTACCTCCCTATATTCGGTATTTACAAGATTTTAGCTACATTTTTCAATCAAACTGTCTGAAAATCCACAAAAAGAGTTCCTTCTATAGTTCTAAGCACTTTTCCCCCTGGAAGAAAAATGTCTATAAAGTTCCACGATATCGTATAGCCCCCACATAACGGTACCTCCCTATTTTCGGTATTTTGGTTATTTAAGCGACATTATACACCGGAATTCAAATTTGCTATTTGATGTTCGTGATGGATACTACAGCCTGAGACAGAAAATTGCCTGTGCAGATCCACGTCTTTGTATAGCCCCCATATAACGGCACCTTCCGATATTCGGTATTTTGACGGTTTTGGGTACAAAAATCACCAAATGGTCGAACTTACTGCTTTTTTACTTGTTCATATAATATATATGTTTTTTTATAGAAGAAGGATATAAAAGAAGGAAGTTTTTTTTTGTTGGCATAAAATCGAAATACTTTTCTTTGTTATAAAATTTGTAATTCATTGGAAGGTTTATGGGTTTAGTAAGTTGTAGCCAATACCCAAACCTTTAAATCAGTCATAGAAATTCCTTTTTATAAGATCAACTCATAAATATTTAATTTGTTATCAATTCACTTGGCGTTGCACCCTTTTCTTTGGAAGGCTTTCACAAGTAAATAACACAATTTCACACATGGTACAATAAAATTAAGGCAGGGCTATGATTTTCATTATTATGTAATATTCTATAGCTATAAGTCGAAGATTTCGGCCTACGATTATTCTACTTGAATTGCCATATTTTACTTTAGAAAGCCAAAGAGACGTATTTGCAATAATTCGAATGTTTATCAAAACTGTTTTTATATGTTAAATAAGTAATATCAACAATTATGAATGTCAATAAGTTAAAATAACTAAATATATTCAAAATTATATATTGTCAAACTAAACAAATTCATGAAGCTATCAATTTTAGTGAATACCTCTTTTTCATTTGAAACTAGTTCGCTTTCTTTGTCAGTGAATATTTTTATCAAACTAGTAGTCATAGCTTTTTACCCGAAACGTTCGATTATAATGAATGCGTTTAAATTATAATTACAAAAAAAATATAATAAATTAATAAATAATGTGAAGCTATCAATTCTCTGCTAAGTGAAGCTATGAAGAAGCATTTGTTTTGATTATTCCTTTTAGGAACTAGTTCCTGGTATTTCTTTTAGTGAATAGTTCAATCAAGGAACATACCAAGGCAGATGTATTAGATCTATTCCGGTTTGGTTCGGGAGATCACTGTATTTAAATGTTTTAAAACCATTATTGGAATCGAAAGTTATGTTGATAAAGAACTTCTGCTTGGTGAGAAACATAAGTCGGCAGTTCATTGGAATCGAAGGCGTTCGGCGGCGGCACATGTCAGCGGCTGCAGCAGTAACACAAAGCAAGCCAGTAAAACAATTCAAATTAAAAGTTCAAGGAGTACCGGAAAAGATGCGTGAAAATCCAATTGTTAAAAAGATTGATACTCCAGAATTTCGGAGTATTTTCACAGCCGAACTTGAGACACTGGTGGATTTGTTTAAAAAATACAATTATGAATTGCGCATAGCAGGTGGAGCGGTTCGAGATATTTTGATGAATATCAAACCCAAAGATATTGATTTTGCCACAACGGCCACTCCAGACCAAATGAAGGAAATGTTTACAGCGGAAAATGTACGAATGATAAATACAAAGGGTGAAAAACATGGTACCATTACACCACGCATTGACAATAAGGAAAACTTTGAGGTGACAACATTGAGAATAGATGTGCGAACGGATGGACGCCATGCTGAAGTGCAATTTACAACCGACTGGCAATTGGATGCCAATCGTAGGGACTTGACAATAAATTCCATGTTCTTGGGCTTTGATGGCACTGTCTATGACTATTTCTTTGGCTATGAAGATTTACAGAAACGTCGTGTGGTTTTTGTTGGCGATCCGGCTGTACGCATCCAAGAGGATTATTTAAGAATTTTGCGATATTTCCGTTTCTATGGACGTATTGCCCGTGAAGCGAATGCTCATGATGAAGCCACACTGGAGGCGATACGCAATAATGGCAATGGTTTGGCCGGTATTAGTGGTGAACGCATTTGGTCGGAACTGCAGAAAATAGTTGTGGGTAATTTTGCCGAGGACTTGGTTTTGCAAATTGTCAAATGTGGTTTGGCTCCCTATTGTGGTTTACCCAATGAACCAAATATAGATGAGTTTAAGCGTTTGTGTGGTGCTCTAAAAGATTTTGAAAAGCCCCACAAACCGATATTGCTAATGACATCCCTGCTAAATTCTGTTGAAGATGCCATAAAAATGCATGAGAGATTAAAATTATCGGCATTTGAGAGAGACCTGGCTTTGTTTGTAACACAACACCGGGATAAGGTAAAATAGGAAAACATGATTTTTTAACATTTGATTTAATTTCGATTTCCTTTCTTCCAGGTGGACACGGAATACACAAAACTAACAGACTACTATAAATTGTGTGTGCAACCATATACGATAAAGGAATATGTGGAACAGCTCCTAAAATACAAACACAAAACGGAATTTTACAACATCCTTAAATCCTTGGTAATTCCGAAATTTCCCGTCACCGGTAATATGTTAAACGAACGTGGCTGTCCCAAGTCGAAGAAAATGGGCAACATTCTAACACAACTGAAAATAATATGGGCCGAAAGTAGTTTCACCCTAAGTGCTGAGGAGCTACTGGATAAACATTTACCCAAGGTTTTGGAAAGCCTAAAATCTCCCATACAATCACCCTCCAATAAGAAAATGAAAACCACAAATTAAGAGCGAGTTAAGTTGGAATTCATTTAAGTATTTTAATTCATTTGTTCTTTTTTGTTATTCTAATTTTTATAGAATATTTGTATTGGTCTCTTAAATCCTTTTTCACAATGATCAGGTACACCCATTAACTGCACTTTTGTAAAACCCACTTCGGAAGACAACAGATACTCCTCAAAGTTGTTGGGGAAAAATTTCATATTTTTGTAGTTTGTAAATATTTGTTCCTGTGAAATGAAAGAAACGAAATGAATGCAATTAAACGATAATGCTAACGATCTAAAAAACGAACTACTTACCGTCATTTTCTTGCGCCGTGAATAATTATCAAATGGCTGGGCCTCCAGGATCAATATGCCCTTTGGCTTCAATTGCAAATACATTCTCTTAAAGGCCAACTTTAAACCATCATCACCAAAATTCAAATGAATCCATTTTGTTATGGATAGACATAGTATGACATCAAATTGTGGCCTTTCAATTTCCAAAAGCACCGCATCTCTCAGCACATAGTTACCATGAACAAAGGTGACATTGAATGGGAACTTGTGTTGTTTTCTCAATTCATTATTCAAGGGCAGAGATTTCTTGTGACGCGTAAGCTGCTTTATTGCTTGATTTATTAAATGTTTATCAATATCTAAACCTGCAATGGACTTGACCTCGAACCTTTTGGCCACTTCCATTGTTATGAAGCCACTATTACAGCCAATATCTAATATTTGTTTATTTGCAAATAATTCTCGATGCTCTGCAAAAACATCCAATCGTATGTCGTGGAAATCTTTGTCCTTATTACGATAGCCATAGTATTGGGAATAATTGCCATAAATGAATTTGGCTTTCTTCTTTGTTGTGTCATTCGCTTTGCCCTCGAACTCTAAACGTTTCTTGGGACTTTGAGGCACGAATGTGTTGGGTGGCTTTTTTGTTTTGTCGGGACTTTTTGTGGAATTTTCGGCTTGTGTGCTCTTGGTAGCATCTTCCTGTCGATGTTTTGCCTTTTTTGTGCCCGAAGGTTCCTCTTCATCTTCCACAATATTGGCATTTTCTGTATTACATGCGGCTATTTTGGAGTCTAAATTATTCTCAAGGCTTTTTGTGGCATTTTCTGTTGCTTCATTATTTACACCACTGTCTACAATTTCACCTCTTAAACTTGGACTTTTATTTACATTTTCTACCGGTTTCGCTTCATGTCCTTTCTCAGAAACTATATTTGTTACAGCGTCCCCCGTTCTGCATGGGCTCCTGGTAGCTCCATTCTTTAAAACTTCATTTGCGACTTCCTTTGATTCTATAAATTGCTCTTGATTTAAAAATTCCTTTACATCTTCCACCGGCTTGATAATGCCTTCTTCGGCATAGGCATTCTTTTTACATTGCGGGATGTCCCCGGATTCATCATCACTGCATTTTCTTTTATTACTTGTATGTTCCTTAATTTCATTTTCACTATTACTAAGTACTTCTTGGGTTTTTAAATTCATATTTAATGTTGTTTCAAAATTAACTTGGTTTTTAAAATCACATGTTTGGTTTTGAAGAGCGAGGAGGTAAACGTTTTGCTTGGTTTTGTTTACAAACACAACTGTTTGCATAGGGTTGCCAATTCATAACGCGGGCGACTGCATCTTCCTTTTAAGATGGCATTCACAGTAAATGGTTAACATACATTCTTAGCAGTCTTGTTGCTCGTGTTTAACAAGGATTTGTACAAATTTACATAGAAATATTTGTTTTATTATGGTTTCTCTTTTTGTTTTAAGTTTTCCGAGAGGAAAAGATAATATTTAGGAGAAAAGGCCAAAGAAAAAGTGACATTTACCACATTTCACTCTCATAGCATTTCATGTCATGAGAACCCCCCTTGCACACTTTTTTTTAATTGCAAATAACAGCTGTTTTTAGCAACTGAGAAGCACACGCACACATTTACACATCTCCAACTCCAGCTATCCAATATGATATCGACGTCGTTTCATTTTACAAGGCATTTGAAAAGAAGTTTGCAGGTTACTTTGCCTTTGCTACGCAACCAACTGGAACAAGTTTCATACTTAAAAAACATTCCGAAACATACATTTTCCTCCAGCAATATGAATCTGAAGAACAGTAAAACCGTATATGTAACAAGACCTGATGTGGCCGGTGTAGGATTAGATATTTTGCGAAAAGAGTAAGTGGTAAAGGATTCAACTTAAAAGAAGTGATTAATCAAATCATATACTATATAAACAGGTGTAATGTTACGATATGGTCCGAGGCCAGACCGGTGCCACGCGACGAATTACTTAAACAAATCGAGGGCAAGGACGCCTTATTTTGTGCTCTAACGGATAAAATCGATGCAGAGGTTATTGAAAAGGCTGGTCCTCAATTGAAATGTATTGCCACCATATCGGTGGGTTATGAACACATCGATTTGAAAGAATGTAAAAAGCGTGGCATAAGAGTGGGATATACCCCAGATGTGTTGACCGATGCCACGGCGGAGCTTACAATGGCCTTGCTGTTGGCCACCAATCGTCGTTTGCTGGAAGCCAATAAGGAGGTTTACAATGGTGGTTGGAAATCCTGGGCCCCCAGTTGGATGTGTGGTCAGGGGTTGAAAGGCTCCCGGGTTGGTCTCTTCGGTTTTGGCCGTATTGGTCAAGAAATTGCCAGTCGTTTGGTACCTTTCAAACCGTCCCTAATTACCTACACCACACGGACCCAACGTCCTGCCGAAGCAAAGAAAGTCAATGCCGTACATGTTTCGTTTGAGAAAATGTTAACCGAATCTGATTTTATTATTGTCTGTTGTGCCCTAACACCCGACACCAAGGAAATATTCAATAGCTCAGCCTTTGATAAAATGAAAAGTAATTGTATTTTTATAAATATATCACGAGGAGCTGTGGTCGATCAATCTGCCTTATATAGTGCCTTAAAAGAGAAACGTATATTGGCTGCGGGGTTGGATGTAACCACACCCGAACCATTGCCTCTAGATGATGCCCTGCTGAAGTTGGATAACATTGTGATATTGCCACATATTGGTAGTGCAGAGACGCACACTCGAACTGAAATGTCACGCATAACAGCCATGAATGTATTGGCTGGTCTAAATGGTAGTCCAATGATATCGGAGGTGGAGATTTAAATTGAAGTTTTTTTTTATTGAAAAAAAACAAAGTTTTAACAACAAAATGCTTAGTTAAAAAGTTACAAAAAATATATGGTTGTTGTTAAGAAGACGCAAACTGCTTGAAAGACATATTTCACTCCTGCCCATTTTTTGAAGAACAATAAAGGTTTTTTAACTAATAAAAATAATATCCCAAAGTTGGAAGTAAAGACGCTGCGTGTGTGGCTTTGTAGATGAAGTTTAAATGGTCCACTGTGGGTTTGTTAACACATCTTAAAAAAGACTTGTAGGGTTCATATCTAAAGAGAAGGTCTGAAGAAAATCCTCCATATATGGACCTATAGGGGCATATCAGAAGGTCTTTAATTTATATGGGACTTTTAGAAGTTCGTCCATATGTGGAGGCCACCGCAGAGGTATTTTACAGAATATGCTCTTCTTTCTATGGACGAAAACGATTCATATGACCTCTATAACATTTTTGAAAGGACTTTAGAAGGTAATTTTATCTGCAACAAATTGAAGGTCTTCTATGCAAGGATAATCTTTATTGTGGGTTCCTCCATGAAAGAACTCTGTCTTCAATTAACACATATCAGGTGTCATTATATTTAGAAGTCTTCTAGGTGCTACCCGAAATTTGTGGTAGAACTTTATCAGTTATTCCAAATATATATTGGACCACTGGAGGATGTTTTCATATATAGAGAAGCTCTAGAAGATGTCTCTGAAGGAAGTATAGGAGTTCAAACTAAGGCCTCTGAAGATTCGCCTACCCAAAAATACCTTAAGTGGATCTTCAATTTATAGAAGTCCTGATTATTATTCTAGACATATATAAATCCTCGAATCCGTAGCAGGCCTGTAAAAGGATAAATCTAATATACTTTTATCCTTGTAACATAAACGTTGTATTCCTTTATTTTTCTAACAGCTGAGGGAGTTTTTCATTGGTATTCCTTAAAATAATTCTTGACTTAATCCTCTCCTGGAGGCAGGGGCTGATTGACATCTGGCAACAAAGCCGTGGGAGGCTGGGCTGCGGCAGTTACCACTGTGCTTATAACCGGCACGCTAGATACCGTGGATATGGTGGATATTTCCATTGGCTCTTCGACTTCCTTTTTGATATTTTCCACAGATATAAAACCGCCGCTGTCATCCTGTCAAATAAAACAAATGAAAATCGTCATCGCACTAAGAACCCCACAAAATCTTACCGTAATGAAGACATCCACCGCATTACCCGTTATTATATCCATAATTTGTGGTGTTACTCCCGACATTGGTTCATCCTGGATACTTTGGGCATATTCCAAGAGGGGTTGTCTCAAATCAGGACACTGTTCCAAAGCTAAATGCAGTTGCTGAGGCGGCAATTGCAGTAGCACCGATAACGAGGTAGGCTTCAGGCGTTGTATACACTTGAGAAAACCCTCCCAGATAACCTTGTGGCGCCAAACTTGCTTGAGAATAAGTCTTTGCAGGAGATTTATTACAAAACTATTACCCAAACGAGGATACAGGGTTAAACTCTGAATTATCGTACGCATTAGCAGTGTTGGAATGGGAACAACTTCGACCAGCTGCTGGAGCACTCCAATCAAAACATCTTGAGTGAATACCTCCTTTTCGGCCAAACACATCGATGTGGCTTTGACAATAAATTTCAAATCACATTCATTCACATCAATGTTGTGCAGAGCCACCAAAATATCAGCCGGCGTTGTGGCTATAGTCTGGCTGGCAAATTCCGGGCCAATACCCAAAAGACGATTGAAAACCTCCTTCACCACCACCTGATTGAGTTTTATTAGCTTCGGTAATGCTGCCAGTATTTCCGTTCGATTGAGACCACTTAGAATAGGTATTAGAACACGTACATCCTTTATCTTGTGGGTGTAGAGCTCCCGCACTCTGAATACCAGCTCTGGATGGGGTGTTGGCTGTCTTTCGGTGAGAATGTAAATAATGCGAATTATCAAAGTTTCACAACCTTTGGGACAATCTTCAATAAGTTTCAGAAGTATGGGATTTTCCGCACCCAAACTCTTGATGGCCGGATCAATGGAACGCAAGATTGTTCTTTTCAAGTCGGCCGAGGTGTTGGCATAAATTTGAGTCATTTTCTCCAAAAACAATTCCGGTTTATGGGGCACAAGGGCCAACATGACGGTTAAACATATTTTGGCAGTTTCTTCACGCCAGGCTGTCTCCACCTCGGGACGGCCGAATTCTTCTCCAAAAATGGCAGCTGGTGGTATTTCCTTTTCCAAAAAAGTGCACCACTCCAAGGCAAATTCATTAATCCGTGGTGGCAGCAACTTTTGACTATGGTACAGGGACAAAACATGTTCCATGGCCTTGTCTCGTAAGTCGCTACGTTCGTGTACACTAAAATTAAGCAAATGTCTCAGACATTTAGCCCTTCTGGGTGGTCTCAAGATACATAAATCCTTTAACAACTCCAAGCCATGTGGAGTATAATCTTCCAACAAGATTAAGCTTAGAAAAGGTTTCAAAACCTCATCTGTTATTATGGGAGCTTCCAAGTAGACACGACGCATAAGCAGCACCTTATCGCGAAATTCACATTTGGCAATAATGCCCTGGACCAACTTCATCAACAGCTCATTGTAGGCATGGTCAGGTCGATTTTCAGATTTGACATACGAGTGTCGGGTAAAACCCTGCAACAGGCAGTACTCTTCATACAACCATGAAAAAGCCAAATCAATTCTCTGCTTGATATCCAGCATAATAAAATCGAAAATGTGATAGCGTACATTGTCAGGGAACGTGGCAGCCATGACTGTCAATAACTTCCTTCGCTTGGCCGAAACTCCTCCAACAATACACTGGCGTTCCGCATTCAAAATACGTTGCACCGCATCAATGAGGAATTTCTCTTTCATTTGCCGTGAAAATGTCTTGGTGATTTCTTGTAACTTTAAAGCCTTGGCCTTTTGTTTCATTCGCTCTATGAGCTCCTGCTCGCCCTTGACACGTTCCATATTCTCTCTCAGCTTTTTGGTGGCCTCTTCTTTACGCAATTGCTCTTCATCGATGGCAGCCGATGCATCTACATCCATTGCGCTTTCAGTGGGCGCAGCTGGCTGCACAGCTTTCGCCTTCATCGGAAGTTCCTTGCTAAATGCCGCCGAACCGGGACCAATTTTCCTATCCGTCATTTGTTGGCCCAATAAATTGGATATTCTCGACACCTGGTGTGGTATTGTAAGATCTTTTATGGGTTCAAATTCCCTGAGAAAATGTTCTGGCACCGTCTCAGGCAATTTGGGCAAACATTCCACAACCAAGTCGACTACCACCTTTGCGGATCGTATATGCTCCGCAATAAATTTCTCATTTACTTTGGTCGACTTTTGTTTTTGCTTTTCCAATTCTTCTTCGTCGATTACCATTTCCTGCTTTTGCCTAGAGCCCTCATTTTCATCCATATCATCATCTCCAGAGGGACCTAAACGCCGCTTCTTAGCCCCACTATTGGCATTTTCTAAAATCCGCTTTTGTCTACGCTGCTGTTCGATTTTATCCATTTTCGGTATTGCCCTTTGTATCTCACCCTGTGAGGCACCCAAATCCATAAGCATATGTCTAATAGCCGTTTGATATTCATAGGAACCTTTATTCTTCAGCAAAGTTGTCAGCTGCATTTTTAAACTTTTTCTAACCGAACTCACTTGTGAGTCCGACAGGGTTGGTGGCAAACTATTATTTAAATTTTTAAATGCCTCCACCACGGGGCCCATAAGACTAGGCCTCATCTTGGCTATGGTACACAAACTACTAGTACAGGTAATCAGATTCACCGACGAAATATATCTGGCACCATGGAATCTCAAGAGGATGTCGAAAATACGTAAAGCTTCCTCTTCTAGCTTCTGTTTTTTAATTAGTCTCAAATTATCATCTACATTTTCCAATGAAAAATCATTCTCTTTCTTTTGACTGTCCTCGTCGGGATAACTCTGCAGGACAACAACTCCTTCGAGGAATTTTATAGCATTTGTGCGTATGCCATCGTTTTCATTGTCAATCAAATCCAAGATTTGTGCTTTAATCAGGCTCATAACGTTCCAAGCCTCCTCAGCACTGTCACTTAAATCTTGCTGGCTGCAAATCCACTGTAAGCCATGTTTGTAGATATTGCCACAGGCCTGGATGACACGTTTTATAACCTGTGGTGATCGGTCGCGCAGCAGCGAAGATATGTGTTTGATAATTTGTGGTAAGTACTCCACTTTTACTTTGCTACGGGAAAGGAAATATCCAACAGTTAACCAAGGAATCAAATATATGTTACATCTACTCACCATATTTGCTCCATAAAAGCCACCACTTGTTTGCGCACCTCCATGTTGGTGTCATGGACCAAAGACAGAATTGTCTCCAGGAACTCCTCCAGCAGTTCTACGCAGGAACCGATAATGGTTTCTTGGATTTTCACCAATAAATCGCATTTTGTTTGTGGTTCAGCTATGGATAATTCATTGACCCATTCTACTATCTATAAGGGAAGAAAGAGAAATAACATAGAGATAAAAGGAAAAGACGACAAACTGCCGGTAGGTGTCTCAATAGAAGCTATACTTACTCGAGCTCTGGCTGCTGCAGTCTTTTCATCAGTAAATAAATTCACAGTTTCACTGAGAAATTGAGGACGACCCAAAATTGGATCCATGTTAATCAAGATTTTAACTATTTCTTCTATATAAACTCCCCAGAGATGCTGATCACTTTCCGTTCCGAAACGAACGAGTTCAGCGAAACTATTCAGTGGTGCGAAATTTTGGGAACTATTTCCAATTTTTCTGTTCTTAAGTTGAACTAGATCCTTTGGTTCACTTCGTTTATGGCATAATGAACTAAAACGGCCAAATGACTGGAACGCCTTTGATGGGGTTAGGTATCGTTAGATAGCACATGAAAGAAAGCTGGATACTTTATTCGGAAATAGAATATAAAAATATTTTTAAAGAAACAGAATTGTTAGGAGAGAGGCCAGTGAATAGAGGACAATACATATTTTTACGATTTAACGTAACTGAGAGAAAATGTGAAAAATTGGAACGCCTTTTGTGGAGTATAGGTAAAAATATCAAGAATTTAGCACGAAATGAAAGTTTATTTTTTCCAAAGAAATATCGATATTACAATTTGTATTATAAGCGTCAGTTTTGAAAAAATACTAAAGAGGGGCAAAGAACAAAAATTATATTTTTAGATGAAAGAGTAGAGGGGAGGAGAAAATTATACATCATATGATCGTTATAAGAAAGGTGTACTTTAAATTTTCATAGAATTAAAATTTGTTTTGTTCCAGTACCTGCAAGAATCTAGTAGTTTTACAATTTTCTTCAATATAATAAAAATATTGTTCTGGAATAGACCAATTGTAAAGTTAATTAAACTTGTAGGAAATTGTATAGCAGTATGTGTTTATTCCTCTTCTTAAAGCTTCTATTATTGTGCGATCCACTAGGGAATTTGAGGATTAAACAAATACATAATAAATATTATAATATTCACTTTTCTCAAACTTTCAGACGAGCTTTAAAATTTCCTGCAACCGCTTCATCGATTTCATTTCTTGCCTTCCATTTTCCATCTAAATTGGCAACATTGGGCGTAACGTCAAACTGACGGGCCTGCGAATTATGCGTGAAAAGAGAAACGTCAACACACACAAAACTGTGTGCAAAGAGAAACGTCAAACAAAATTATCTATTTTTCAGTCAAATTGCAAATTAGTTTTTGCCCACTCTGAGTATTTGATTTCTGTTCGTATTTGGGAAAATTCGCAATTGAATTTATTAATTAATTTTAATAAATAGTTAATGATGAATCTGGTCCTCTTTGATTCCTTCAGGGAATAGAGACAATTCAAGTGTGGAAGTGGAATATATTTGCATTGAAATACGACAAAACAACGACGGCAAGTGAAAAGTACGAGCGAAAAAAAAACTTTTTTTAAAGAAGCAAAAACAAAAAGTAAAGAAAAAACACTCATACGCCTTAAAAACACACAGTAGTGAAAAAAGCAACAACTACAAGAAGAGCAGCAGCGGCAGCGGCAACAACACTACATCTTGAGGAAGAGATTAAAACGCGAAATACCGACCGATCGAGTAAACGAATTCAGAAAAGTTTTTCTTTTCATTTGCAAAAAAAAAAAGAAACAAACCGAAACCCATAAAAGTCGATAAAAAATAAAAAGGGGGCAGTGGAGGCTGCAGTTGGAACGGCGGAAAAGGCAAGAAAATAAATAACAAAGACTCAAATCAAGGCCATCATTGAGGAAAAAAGAAAATTAAACAAAACTAGTCGACACATTAATTGAAATTTTAAACGACAGCAGCGACGACGACGACAACTACGACGCGAGGAGGAGAGTACAAGCAGTACAAGCCACCATCCAACAATAGGTTGCAAATACACAACAACATATCCAAAGAGAGTGCGAGAGAAGGTAGCCGCAGCAGCTAGAGTTGTCGGCAAACACATACAAAGGCAGCAGCGGAGAGGAAGAGACCGGCTTAGAATTCAAATCCGAGCTAGTGGAGGCGTTTTGCCGCAACCACTGTCAATGTCCGGTAATCAAGCTCAGATCGGTGCTGGAGGTGGCAATAGTGGCGGTGGTGGTGGTGGGGGCAGTGCTGAACAGCAGCAACAGCACACACCACCCCAGATAATAGCCTCTGGTGCGACAGCAACCTCCAGTTCATCAGCAGATGCCGTCAATATGGCAGCTGATTCATCGCCTCGCGAATCGGGTGACGACTCGGAGGATGAAAGTGAAATTTTGGAAGAGTCTCCCTGTGGGAGATGGCTGAAGCGGCGCGAGGAGGTCGATCAACGTGATATACCCGGCATCGATTGTGTCCATCTGGCTATGGACACCGAGGAGGGTGTCGAAGTCGTCTGGAACGAGTTGCAATACAGCAGTATACAGGAACTCAAGTCGCAAGAGGAAAAAATGCGTCAGGTCTTCGATAATCTCCTACAGCTGGACCACCAGAACATAGTCAAGTTCCATCGCTATTGGACAGACATACAGAATCCGGAAAGGCCGCGTGTGATATTCATAACGGAATTCATGTCGTCTGGTTCTTTAAAACAGTTCCTTAAACGCACCAAGCGTAACTCCAAGCGCCTCCCCCTGGAGGCTTGGCGTCGCTGGTGCACACAAATTCTTTCAGCGCTTAACTATTTGCATTCCTGCGTACCGCCCATCATCCACGGCAATCTAACCTGTGATAGCATTTTCATCCAGCACAACGGTCTGGTCAAAATCGGCACAGTGGTGCCCGATGCAGTCCATCATAGCATCCGCCAACAGCAACAGCACAAAGCGGTTGAACATGGTGCCCTACACTTTATGGCTCCCGAATATGGTGCAGTCCGCCAGCTAACGGCTGCCGTTGATATTTATGCGTTCGGTATGTGCGCCCTGGAGATGGCCGCGCTGGAAATCCAAAACAGTGAGCCAAATACCACGATACACGAGGAGACAATATTAAGGACGATCAATAGTTTGGAGAACGACTTGCAGCGGGATCTGATCTATAAGTGTTTGCGAAGGAATCGTTCGGAAAGGCCTAAAGCCAGTGATTTACTTTTTCATCCGCTATTATTTGAGGTGAGTGAGTAATGGTTTGAATATTTTTTTTTATTTTATCCATTTTACTGTCTGTCTGTCGGTCGGTCGGCCTGCCTGTCGTTGTTGGTTGGTCTTGCGCTTGATTGTGGTGATGATGATGATGTTGTTGTTGTTATTACTTGCCATGCTTTGTGCATTCTGATCGTGTCTTTGTACAAGAGTCTTGGGTGAGTGTGTTGTCTGCCTTGCCAGCCTTCCTCTGTGCTAATGGGCGAAGGCTGAAGAGAGGGCGAGAAGACAGAGACGTAAGAAAAAAAGATACAAAACAACACCAACAACGTCGGCCCAAACATGCACAGCAACTTGAATATAAAAAAACTACTACCATTTATAAAGTAGGACATTGACTGACTAATAAAGCTCAACACTTCAGCACACAAAGTTTTGGCTGGGATAGTGTGGTGTGCCTTTAGGCTTTTCCTAAGGCTATCACTGCTAATTTAAAAAAAAAAGATTCATTAGCACCTCCACACTTGCTGTCCACCAATTGTTTGTTGTTTTTTTTTCTCTCTTGTCAACTACGCAAACTTGTGAAAGGTGTCACTGTCAATGCTGCCAATTTGAAGGGGGGTCAAAAACAACTATAATTGTTTGCAAGTGTTTGGGTGATATTATGGAAATGTGAAAAATAAAAAGTACCTAGCACGGATCCCCCTTTTTTTGTACAGATAATGTGTGTGTGATTCATTGCTAGGCTTCGAAAAGTTTTGTCCTTGTCATTTATGACTGACTGACTGCTGGCAATAATTTTATATTCTATACTGCCGTAGGGGGGGAAACTGACTCATGTAGTGTAGTTTTTTACATACCTTTCCATATCCTTTTTTTGCTGTAGGATTGTTGTTGTATTTGTATTTATCTCCCAACAAATTAGATGTCTGTTAGACGTTCGTTTTTCACGAACAAATAATTTCTATTGATCCCCTAAAGTATGTTACATTGAGGCGGCATGTGTTTGTGTGACATTGTGTAGTTGTTGTGTTGTTGCTGCTGCTACTGTTGTGTTGTTGTCGTTTCACACAGAAAGTAAATGATTCACACACTGCGGTAGACACAGACAACATGCTTTCGCAAAACACAGCAAAACAAGTATGCAAGTGCGGGCCAATAAACATCCCATAATAAATACACTTTACAAAATTTAGGCAAGGTTATAGAAATATAAATTATTTCAAGTGAAATTATTTGGGGAAGAAATTGAAAGCAATCTACTGGAATGATCTATCCTAATAAAGTAGAGGTCAATGACCGTATTTCAAAAGATAATATTTTGCCAGGAAGCTTTGAAGATTTCACAAAGGTCATTTTGTCATTAGGTGACTAAAATACAAATATTTATCTACTTTCATAATTTAAAAGATGACAATTTCTATTTATCACTTTTTAAACAACGTGTTCCTATCCAAATTCCTTGCAGTGTACCCAAAGATGCATTGATTATATTCACTTTTTTCCTTCTTTGCCACGGCCACCAAACCAGCATTCTCGTGTAGTGTGGCAGTTATTATACACATATTTTGCCACAAATAGTTTTGCCATTGAACTTTTTAATAAAATGACCCCTGATGTGAACTGTCTCTTCTCTCCGTCACTCAGCCACCCGGAATGTCATCAGGGGGAGGCATTTTACAAAAGAAATCAACTGATTTAACCTTCGTTAGTAATTGAATTAAATCCAAACGCCAGCAGCAGCCAGCTATAGGATGGGACCATATCACAAGCTGGACAATTGTAAACAAATTACAAAGCTTAATATTAAGTAAATTAAGAAGCTTGAAAGGCATACACACATAGATGTAGATTTATTTGGCAAATGAATGTGTTCCTACATAGGTAATCCATTATGGGTAAAAACAAAGTTTTTGTAGTTTTCTAATGTGCTGAACATGATTATGAAATTGATTTGCTACACGTGGAGGTCAAATGGCGGAGGGCCTGATTAAGGTCGTATTTCCACCGAAAGTCTGTAATTTTTTTATGTAGAAGACGTCTACAATGTTTTATATACAAGGAAGACCAAAATGTGATATTCTGCCTGTAGGAGATCTGCAAAAGGTGATTTTTTATGTAGGAACTCCGTTTATGGTATTTTATGAGAATAAGACTTATGTACCTGCAAAAAGTTGTAGCTTTAAGAAATAAGGCGTTTCTTATACAGAAGATGTCTGGAAGGTGGTCTAAATGAAGTAGATCTACAAAAGGTATTCAGTCTGCAGGGGGCCATCAGAGCGTACTCTTTAAAGAAGGAAAGTCTTTTATGGTAAGGACAACAATATGTGTCGAAGATTTATAGAAGGTCCTCTTTAAACCCGTTTTAGGCATTCTGATGTTGAAAAAAAGAACTATCTCTTGATGAGGTATAGGAGGTCTTTCTTAAATGAATGGCCCGTCTAAGATATTCTTAGTTTGGAAAAGATTTTGTAAAGTCCCCCGTTCCCACCCCCTGAAACATCTTATATCCATAGACACGATTTTGTGTCTACAAAGGTTATTTATTTTCAAATAACCTGTCGGTCCTACCGACTTTATACTACCCTACATATTTAAGAACTTAAGAAAATTGAAACTTGATTTTCTGGACGCCAACCCAACCGGTTTACACCATGTTTTGGATGGATCTGTGGATCGGTGGACCGGTGGTTGGTGTAGGTTCCATGTCAACCCCTCTACAGATCTCAACTGTGCCAGAATATTTATGATAATTTTAAAAAGGGACCTCTGAAGATGTTGCGGTAGATACACATGAAAAGTCCGCCCGTATCCGTTGGTATGTCATATTGGATTTCTCGGATTTAAAGTTATCCTTATGTTAAAGGTCCTCCTCGGATACATACGATTGTGGTCAGCATGTCATATTTGATATGGTTTATAAATAAGGCCCAGGTTTCTTGAGCGTTGCCTCAAATTAGGATCCAAGTTGAAGGAATGAATGCTTCGTCTCTTGTTTTTCTCAGCTTAACATTCTTGCTCTTTTATTTATTCATTTTTTTTTTCAAAGTAATGGCTTTCGGAGCTATGAACCACAAAATTGGGGTTTCGGATGAAATTTGTTCGCATTCCACACATCCGAAAAAAAAGAGTACGAATCTGGACTGGGTAGGGCCTTCTTGTCGTTTCCCCATGTGGAATCCAGTATGTTCTTAAAATCAACCAAACCCATGTTTAAGATGCATTCATTTAAGAAGCAATTCATTTCGAGGGGGCTCAACGGACGAAATATAACAATTATAACAATTTTTATAGAAGGCCTTTAGAAGTTCCATTAAAAGATCTTCCAGCTTCGAAGAAAAAAAAGATCATCTGTCTGTCTTTTGAAGACCTCTCCTAGCAACCTTTCTTAACATCAAAAAAAAAAAAAAAAAAAAAAAAAATACTGTGTTCTTAATTTTTTCCAAAACATTTTTTTTTTTCTTAATTTTTTTCTCAAAATTAATTTTTTCCAATTTAAATCAAATTTTCAGGTGCATTCTTTAAAATTACTGGCCGCTCATTGTCTGATATTTTCCTCATCGAATCGTACAATGTTCTCGGAAACCGTTATCGATGGAATGATGCAACGGTACAATCGGCCCGAGGTGATAATGGCTTATGTGAAATTTTCTCGAAATCCTGAAGCAACAGAGGAGGAACAACAGCAGCAGCAACAGACAGCAAATGCAGAATCGCCAACATCAGGGGAGAGTGGTGTTGTTGAAGGCGCTGGTGGTGGTGAGGAACAGGGTCAATCCAGTCCCAAGGCCTATATACGAGAATATCGCCTGTCCGATGTACCCTCTGCCGATAAATTGGAAAAATTCGTTGAGGATGTCAAATATGGTGTTTATCCGTTGACGGCGTTTAGCGGTAAGAAGCCACCACATTTCCGATCACGAGCCGCCTCACCAGAACGGGCAGATTCGGTGAAATCTGCCACCCCGGAACCTGTAGATATTGAATCGCGACGCATTGTCAATATGATGTGTAGCGTTAAGAAACTAAAGGAGGGCAGCAATGACATACTGATGACCATTCTATTGCGCATGGATGATAAAATGAATCGCCAGCTATCGTGTGATGTTACAGAGAATGATACGGCGGCTGATTTGACACAGGAGTTGGTGCGTTTAGGTTTTGTACATATTGAAGATCAGGACAAGATACAGGCACTGTTGGAGGAGACATTGCGTAGCACCTTTTCGGAGGGTGGTGCTGCATTTGGGGAGTATGGGGCCCAGGAGAGGACATTTAGTGCTACAATCAATGAACAGCAACAACAGCAGCAGCAACAGGGTGGTAGTAGTACCACCACAACGATTGCCGGTAATACTAACAACAACAATAATAACAATAGCAGTAGTAATAACAACAATAACAATGCCATAATGATGATGACGACGACAAAGACATTGCCAACAGCAGTGGTACCCCAACAACTCCAAGCCCAGCCACAGGCAGTTACGACCACATCAAGCCCAGCCGTTAATATGGCAACATTACAGCAAATGGAACGGAATTGGTCGGTGGCCGATAGTGATACAACAACATCATCGGCGGCGGCAGCCATGATGATGCGTGGTCATAATCCATCACAAATCAACTCCACCATAGCCTCACCCCTGCCTCCAAATGCCACGGCTGCAGCAACGGCTGCCTTGGGTTTGACGGGTACTGTGACCGTGCCCATGGTGGCCTCAGATCCCTTGGCCGGCCATGTTATGTATGTGCCCCATGATCAGTTGCAGCAGATCCATGCCCCACAACATCATACCCAGCAATTGTCGCCCCCACAACAGCAGCAGCAGCAAATGCATCAGCACATAGATCCCTCAATGTTGTCCATGGATGTACCAGACAATAGTGCAGCAGCTGCAGTTAGTCATCATCAACATCATCACCAGCAGCATCAACAACAACAATACATGAATCCCGTTAATGTTTCAATGGTCGCCAACAATCCAGCCATGTATCAGCCGCCTCCCCACTTAACAAATATCTCCGTTACCCACTCGCCCCAAACCAATGCCACACCAGCTGCTTCCTTTGCATCTCCCTCGACCACAATCAACTAATACATTGAGTATTTGGAATTATAATCCTAGAAGAAGCAAACAAGTAAAGTAAAGTAAATGTGGAATAATTCTCCTCCCCCCTCTCTCTCTCCCTCGCTTTGCCTCCTCAGCATAGTTTGTTTTAAGTAAGTTTTTTGCAAAAGAAAGAAAAAAGTACTAAACTCATATTTTAAATAGAGTCCTTTTTTTAAGTGTAAGAACATATTTTAATGCTAGGTGTCCTAGAGGTCCTTTCATGCACCAACCCCGCCCTACCTTCTCTGCTTGTTTTTATTTCATTTCCCCACATAGGTACATTGTATTGAGTACAGTCAGCTTGAACGCACTTCGATTAACATAGTCCCTCCCGCCCCCTGTTATCTTAGCAATAAGTTTTGAAAACAAAAAGAAAACATGCCAGAATGGCAAACGAGTCCTTGTCAAAATTTATATTGAAGTAAAGAAAAATACTAAAAAAACATAAAATAAAACTTTAAAGAAAGAGACTGTCTAAACGAGTATATAGTTATTTAATTAATTTTATTCGTTTTCTTTTTTGTTGTATTGTTTATTTTGTTAAAATATTGTTTCCTTTTTTTATTTTAAACTTCTTAACTTACAAGTCAAACAAACAAAAAAACCACAAAAATAAAAAAGAAAAACTAACAAAGAAAAAACATTAAAATCTAATAAGAGTTTTATGGAATCCAACAATACCACACACACAACCCATTAGCGATAACTTTGGTACTTTTAGAGTAGAGTAAAAAACAAAAACTACAACAAGAATAAGAAAAAAATATTAAATAAACAAATAAAACAAAAAGGCTTCCAAAAAGGCAAATATAACAAAAAATGAGAAAGAAAAAAAAACTAAAGTAAATTAAAAAAATATTAAAGATAAACACATTATTTCATTATTTAAACAATGACAGCATAGTATCGACGTGGTTGTCACCGCGTTGTCGTCGTCGTCGCCGTCGCCTATCCATTAAATAAAGACAAGAGAAAACCAAATACCACAGAAAAAAAAATCTCCATAAATTGCTTGATAAATAAAATCCCTAAGAAAACAGATTTTTCAAATTACGCTGTGTAAACTAAAACAAAAATAATATTTATATATATTTAATGACTGTGACTACTCATATATATATTAAAACAAAAAACATAAAATATACATTTCTAAGCATACACATAATGAACCATTTGATTGATGATTAAGTGAAACAGACAGACACACACTCAACCCCATAAAGGTCCCTTCTTTAACTTCTTTTCTCGGTCCCAAACCAACAATAATAAGAAAAAGAAGAAAAACAAAACAACAGTTAAGCGCTTTATTATTACTAAAAGTTATTATTATTATTACTATTATAATTCTAATTATTATTATGATTATTATTGATAATGATCAGTAAATAAATCTTTACATTAAAAAGGAATAAAAATCGAAAACACAATCCCCTCCCCCTTTCTGCCCACACTCTTCTTAAAACCCAAATGCAATACAGTCATGTGGTGATGCAGGAAACTCAATGCAAAAAGCTGTTCTTCAGAACTCAATTAACCCAAATTTGAAAAGAAAAAAAAAAACACAACAACAAACGAACACACCATGTAATAGAAAACAACAAGAAAAATAAAACCAATAGCTTATATTTAAATGTATTTATTGTAATTCATCAAACCAACAAACCAACATTTTTAAATTCAAACAATCATACAGCTAACATATTATTAATTATTATATAAATATATATTTTTTTGTGAAAGCAAATGCCATTTCTATATAATAATAATAATGATAAATAATAATTCTATTTTGCAATAACAAACAAACACACACACACACGACATACATACATAAAGTCATCTGATAAAAGAAGTATTACTGCGAAAGAAAAACAAAAACAAAAGAGAAAACATTGTAGAAAGTAATACAACAAATCATATATTTCATAGAAAGAAACAAAAAAAGAACTCATTACAAATAAAAAAAAAACAAAAACAAAAAATTCATATAATGAAGACAAAAAACCAAATAAATAAATGTTGTGGCTTTTTATTTTGATTGTACAAAACAAAATGGTCTAAGTACAGGTTTAAACGTGGAGGGACATAATCAATCTCACCAATCTAGTGGTCACATACGAAATCATTCTTGCAGGAACAAGCTTCAATTGTCTGAGAAATATAAAAAAGAGTTCAAGTCGCTTTTCAGCAGGCCTTATGGTGTGAGTAAGGAGTCCTTATATGTGGTGGGGCGTAATCAATCTCACTAATCAACTAGTGGTCACATTCAATATAATTTTTGCAGGGACAAGCCTCAATTATCTAAGAATTATAAAAAAGAGTTCAAGTTGCTTTTCAGCAGCCCTTGAGGCGTAAACAAATATCCCTTGCTGACATCTTGAAAGGCGATGGGTGGCTCTATGGATAGCTAGAAGTCAGCTTACAAGCCCAGTCCAACTATTATCAGAATTTTGATGGAAGTTTTGGTAGAATATCCCGAACAGGGTTTAATTTTGCTATCATTTGATATGTTGCAGAACACACAATAATTTACTAGTTTTGTAATGTTTTCTAATATCATAAAGAAAAAATCTGTTATCGTTGCATACTCTTCACATTCTAACTAGTTCTGGAACAGAGCAATAATGTAGCTTTATTTAATTAATTTTTGAAACAATTTAATTCGTTGCATTTTGTAACAAAACTTTTAAAAATAACAAAACGGAAACTGCGTTGCCAAACGCACTTTGTAACGCGACGCCGTTAATGCAATTACAGTGACTTCGATAATCACTGAAAAATGATAACATTTGGGCAGAATTACATACAGTGGCGTGTAGCTGTAGTTTGATTAATTTTTGAAACATTTAAATTTGCTGCTTTCTGCAACCCTACGTCAAAATAACAATTCGGAAAAGGAAATGACGTTACTAATCGCACTTTATCACGCAATGCCGTCAATGTATTGCTTTAACTGCGTTTTATTGCAATTACAGTGACTTCGACTTTTTATAGGGTTTCTGCTAACACTGAAAAATGATAACATTAAGGAAAATTAATGGCTTTCTTTTTAATGGAATTCAATAAATTAACTATTTAAACTTTTAGCAGCCTTTTAATTAATTCTTGAAAAAATTTAATTCGCTGCATTCTGAAACATAATTGCGTTGCCAAATGCACTTTGTCCCGCCACGCCATCAATGTATTGCATTAACTGCCTTTTATTACAGTGACTTCGACTTTTCAATAGGGTTTCTGCTAATCACTGAAAATTGATAACATTTAGGCAGATTTACAAAATAATATAATAGTAAATTTAAACTTGTAGCAGTCATTTAATTAAACCCTTTTGGTTTGACGCATTCTGTAATCTAACATCAAAATAAAAATTCGGAAAAGGAAGGGGGTTGCAAAAGCACTTTGTCACGCAACGTTTTAAATATATTTCTTTAATTGGGTTTCATTGCAACTAAAGTGACTTGGCCCGTTTAAAAGGGTGTCTGCTATTCACTGAAAATAGATAAAATGGCATTAGGTGTGTCTGGTTACCCTAAAATTTGTAACAATTGTTACAAATTGTTACTGGAAGCCGTCTGTTAACCCGAAAGTTCTGCAAAAGAGAGCGGTTGGAGAGAGAAATGTTGACAGTTCTTTCAGTGAGAGTTTGCAAATTCTTGCTGGACAAATTTCTTCTTGCAATCACTTGCAACTCTTCTTCTTCTCATTCATCGACTTTCAATCAGATGTTTTATATTGTTTATTTATTTCTTTTTGTGCTTTCAATTTTAAAATATTTTTTTTGGAATTAGCAAGACTAATAGTTTTTGGAGAACAACTTCACAAAAAGTGAAAAACGTAAATGTTAATATGTAATAAGAAAATAAAAGACTATTTCCAACATTTTTATTTAAAAAACTTGTAAAATTAGTATTGCTTCCTTTGTTTTAATTCTCCTTATGGGGGACAAATTGGTTTGTTTTGACAAATCAGCTGATTAGTTGCAAGCTTCTGCAGGAATACCGTTTGTTTACTTTTCGCATTTTTCTTGCAAAAGAGAATAAAACTACCTTACTCTCTCAGAAAGAAGTTACTGGACAATTACTGCTGGAAAAATAACCAGACACACCTATTATAGTGGCTTTCTTTGTATTGAACGTGGCAGAAGAATACAGGTAGATGCAACATCGCTTGGGAACATTGGTATGTCAATTTTTTACAATGTTTCTTCAAAAATAAGAAAAAAATAAGATGTTTCCTTACCAATAAAAGAATTTTGTTAAAAAAAAAGAAAAATAAACAAAACCACCTGTTGCATATTTAAAAGTCTATTTGACACTGTAAGACTTCGTTACAGAGCTGAATTTTTCTAGTATTTTTAAGTTGATCAACCTTTCTTATTGAGCCATGAATACATACATACAATTCCTTTTCGAATTGAGTCGAAGACTTATGCCAGAATAACATTTTCTATTTATTCTAACCTCGATAAAAGTGAGAGCACATATGTAAAACGCATTCCGTCTGATAGCACCTTATCAGAACAAATAAGTATAAGTTTACATAGTTCAATTTCAATCCATAATTTAAATTTGATAAACTTAATTTCCCTTTTCTTTCACAAAAAGGCAGACGGCGTCTTATGCAAAAAAAAAAATCAACATGCCTGATAGATAGGCAAAGCGACATGGTCAAAAGTCAATTTTTAGATCCCTATTTGTTGACAATTAGTTCTGTGGCTCATTAAATGAATGCTTCCATCTGACTCGGGGATTTTACTTTCTCTTTATTTTTTATTGGCCATTTTTTTTGGCCTTTAGTTTGGGACGCCTTTCATTTTGGAAACAAAGCGGGAAGCAACATGCCGGAACAATCTTTAATTATTAATGAAATTAATGAAACGAGTGAAGTAAACACTGAAAATAATGCAAAAGATGTAGTACAAAAAGAGGAAACCACAACGGAAACGAAGGAAACTACTCCGGTGGAATCTACCCCGACTGAAACCAAACCAACTTCCAGCTATGATCTCAACAAGTTTCAACTCCAAAGGATACTGAACAACAATACACGAAATAAGAGTATAGCTCTATTGGGAAGTTTTCCCAGTGTTTCAGAAACCGACAGTGCAATTGTTATTTTGGAAAAGCAGGCATTCCGGGAAACGGATGTTTCTACTAGCAATACAGCTGAGGGTAAAGATAAGGTGGGTGAAAGCGAAAATGGCACTAAGGAGGAAGAGGTGCACGGTCGTGTTTCATATTTTGGCAATGACCTAAAGGTGCAAACGCATTTCATTAACAATGTATATGGGAGCTATCAGTGTACGCCGCCGGCTGAATTGAATGGTAAGATTCGCGCTCATCTATTAGATATTTTAGTATATTTTATTATATGTAATATGTTATTTGTTATATATAATATATTATTTATTATATTTTATTGTTTATTGCCTTAGGTGTAAAGGCCACTGTAGTCTATCCTGCCACTGATAAGCACATTGAAAAGTATTCCATTTGCCAAAAATATGTCATCAATGAAACTCCTGAATATTATAAGGATATTACACTGCCCTATATAACATCATCCCAGTTCTCCTTAGAGGTAAAGTTGAAATTAAATAACCTAGAAAATAGTTTCCAATAATAGGATTTGTTTTAGTGGGTCTACAACATTCTGGAGCATAAACAAGAAACCGAACGCATCATCTACGAGGATCCCGATAAGGAGAACGGTTTCATCCTGCTGCCAGATCTCAAATGGGATGGTCGTAATGTTGAAACCCTATATGTTTTGGCCATAACCCATAAACATGACATCAAATCGCTGCGTGATCTCAATGCCTCACATTTACCTCTGCTACGTAATATACGTAAACGTTCAGCAGAAGCGCTAGAAAAACGTTATGGCCTGGCTGCATCCCAACTGCGTATGTATTTCCATTATCAGCCATCGTTTTACCACTTACATATCCATATAAATCCCGTGCGCAATGATGCTCCCGGTATTTGGTGTGAAAAATCCCATATGCTCGATACGGTTATTAATAATTTGGAATTAATGCCGGACTATTATGAACGTGCAACTCTGCCATTTGTTTTGTATGATGGCAATAAGTTATTGGAGTTGTATGAGGCTAAAATCAGCATACGAAAGGCAGCAAAACGTGCGGCGACAGCAGCTGCCGATGTCAAGGAAGATGATACAGAGGAGGGGTTGGCAGCTAAAAAGCCAAAACTTGATGAGGATGTTGTTAAAACTACTATTGAAGAAAAGACAAATGATGAGGAGGCGACAAGTGCATCATAGGAGGCTGTAAACACTGTTCGAATTTAAGAATAAAATAAAATCTGGACTATGCGACAAGGCTTTGTCTTTTTTATTTAAAAAACGACTGCAGTGGAGAGAGCCAAGCTTAACCTCGTTTTTATACCCTCCAGAGGGTATATTAAGTTTGTCGTTTCGTTTGTAAAACCTCGAAATATACATTTTAGACCCCAGAATGTATATATATTCCTGATCAGCATAAAATTCTATGTCGATTTACCGATGTCCGTCCGTCTGTGGAAATCACTCTAGCTTCCGAACGAAATGAAATATGTTGATAAAATGTATTTTATGCCTGTAGGACTTTTTGTATTGAAAATGGACCACGTAAGTCCATGTATTGGTATAGCCCCCATATAACGGCACCTTCCGATATTCAGTATTTTGATGATTTTAGCGACATTATGCACCGGAATTGCTTCAAATTTGGTATTTGAAGTTCGTAATGGATATTACTGCCTATGACAGAAAATTGTTTGTGCTGGTCCACTTCTTCGTATAGCACCCATGTTACGGTACCTCGCGATATTTGGTGTTTTTATGATTTTAGCGACTTTATTCACCGGAATTGTTTCAAATTTGGTATTTGAAGTTCGTAATGGATATTACAGCCTATGACAGAAAATTTTCTGTGCATGGCTACGTCTTCGTATAACCCCCATATAACGGCAACTCCCAATATTCGGTATTTTGATGATTTTATCGACTTAGGAGTTATTTTCTTTGAGGCTCCTATAATGCAAACGATTTGCTTTAACTCCCCTATTAACCCAGAGCACAAAAAACAAATATTTAATATATTTTTTTTAATACATTAAGATGGTTCAGTTTGTTTTATTTTATTGTTACAATGATATACAACATCCGCATCATTCGATAGATATATTTCTATATTCAGTAAATATATAATTAATTATAATGAACAATATTATAGTTAAGCAATTTTTTTTTGTATGAACATCATTATCATCATCACCTAGTGAATTGAACGTTGTTTTCGTTACTAATATGAGTTTGTATTTTTTATACACATTTGTATTCATTATGTGGATATTGGGTTTTATGTTCTTTTGCCAGAAAGTTATTTGCTGAAGCCAGCTTCCTAGGAGGAAGTGAGGAAAGAAAGAAAAAGGTCTTGGTGGAAAATGTCGAAAAGCTTGGAAACAGTCTTACAAAACTAAATTAAATTAAAAGAGGAGTGTGAGTGTATGGGGGGTTCGGTCACCTTAGAGATGTTTGAATGTGGAAATACAAATTTTAGTTTTCTTTTGGTTTGAGGTTTCCTCAAAATTCTTCTTCTTTAGACCATGACACCCGTTGAGGGTTTTGCTCCCAAAATATCAGATAATTTATGCTGATAATTGGCCAGGGTATTTGAATCGGTTATGCCTCGGGCTTTACACGACAATTGCAAGGCATTTAAATACTGCATTTCGGAAAATTGCAAACCTTGTTCTACAAGGGTTGTGAGTATGACCTGAAAAATGAAACAAATAAATATTAAAAAAATAATTTAAAATATATTTTTTCATAAAACTTACATCTGGTTCCATGCACAGCAGCTCATAAAACTGTTTGGCTTGATCGAGAGCCACTTCCCGAGAAGCGGTTATGTTGCTCAAGGTTTGCTGCAAGGCTGAGGCATTGCGGCAAATACGTTTAACCGTTATTTGATCAATTTGTTCTATATAGTTGGAGGCCTGTATCAGGATCAGGGCCGCCAAATGGGCGAGGCCCTCAAAAATGTACTGTAAAAGAAATTAAAAGAGAAAATTATTTTTTCCCCTAAGAAAACGAATTAGTAACCTACCCTTGTTTTCCGGGGATGCAGGGTTGTGCTAAAGGCCTCATCCAATTCGGACAGACGTTTGGTCAGAATCTGCACCTGTCTGTCCGGTTCCAAAACATCATCTTTGGAATCAATAAATGCATCAGCCCTTGTGCGCTGGGGCTTGGAGCGCAAATAATGGAAACATTGGACACGTACCTTGAAAAAATTGGAAATATTTCCATTTCAAATAACGACTTTTTTCTCAAAAAAAAATTAAAAACCTACCTCCAAATGTAATACCAGCAAACAGGTATTGGCCAATTCATCAAACTCCAGGGCCAAATTTGTCAAGACCTTAATGGTGCCATCCTTGACGGTGGCATATGCCGCACACTCTGGTGCCACCGAATTCAAGCCATTTACCAAGGGTCTACGCAGTTCATTGGCAAATTCCGAAATTCTTATGGAGAACCATTCCATACTTTCCTGGAGAATTGCCAATTCTTTGAGGACACTAACATCACCCAAAATTTCCTGCTGAGAAATGCCACCCTCACCCAGATTACTGGTCAACATTTCAGCCTCACGTATATTACGTTGCTGGATTTGCAGAGGGCTCTCTTCCTCAGAGGCATCATATTGACTTCGTTGTAGACGTTTGCCATGCTTTGGTCGCTGATGGGAGTTCTTCAAATCCGTCCAGTTGGGGAGGGTCCTAAGAAAAAAAAAAAAAAAAAGAAAACAAATTAGGTATGAATTTTGAAATATCTCCATTTCGTTGACCTACTTTAAGAACCGACTAATATCTTCATCATTCAACCACGTCACACTGTAGATACGCCTATCCTCTGCATCCGGTTGCACAATACCCAAATAGGCATCATTACAAATGACACGATAATCCCTTAGCACTGAACACACCGTCTTCAAAAGTTCCTCTGAATAACAGGGTAAATCTTGTATAAGTTGTTTGGTTTCCGACAGACATTTTTCCACTCTCGCCGTAGATTGCAAAATGGGTCGGGTCAAACCCAAGGCCGCCCTCTCCTCGGGCGAAATAATTGTACGCCACACATCCTGGTTTTTCGACAAGGTTTCAATGGTCATTTTCAAATGCGAGTTATGGCCCTTCGACAAAAACGTGTCCTTGATGTAGTTGTCAATGAAATCGTGCAGGCTGCAGGGTTGTCTAAAAAGATAACGAATAGTTTTTATTTAAGAACTTTTGGTGGCTATTTAAAGTTACTTACCCTGGTTTACATTTCATAAAGTTTTCAATTTCTTGAATATAACCCATTAGGGGCAAATACACCTTGGTTATGACCGTTTGATCTGGCGTGCAGATGAGAAGTTTCTCCCTCTGTTTTTCATACGGAAGATTTGACTTAAAGCTGTAGTTAGCCCCAGCCTTACCACCACTGGCATTTAAGGCAGCATTTAGATTATCCATTGAGGCGTCGGATGCATTGCGACGATGTCCTTTGTTTGGCTCATTGCTAGGTGTGGATTTCGTTGATGATTTATCGAATTTAAAAATGGATTTCTTTGCACTGCAAGGTGAGAAAGAGATATTGGTTTAGTTTTTAGTGTTTTTGTTGCTCAAAACAAAATAACAAACCTTGGAACTTTACGTCTTAGGAAAAAGGCATTAATGTTACTGGTTGGCTCAGCAAACGATGACTGTGAGGAATCATCAGCGGAAGCATTCTGTATGTCTAGATAATCGGTTAAAAGTAATTGCAACTGAAAATAGAAGGAGGAAATTGTGTGGGTTAATATAATCTGCAGCTGGCTTCTAATTTCGAGAAGGAGGCAGAAAAAGTTCTTGAATGAAAAAACTGAGATTTTGAAATGAAAGGATATTTTGATAAAATGCTGAAGTCTAAATAAAAATGAACCACCGATCAGAAAAGCCTTCTGCGACCATTTTGGGTGAGTTCAACAGAAAAAATATTAAATTTTTTAAATTAGACATCCTGCCACCCCCTGGCTAGGTTTCTAATGAAAAACGAACGAACATTGTCTGTCTCTTGATTCCATTTTTCACCTCGAAATACTTCCATAAGTAGTAGAGATTTACTGGTCATGTGGACATTTTTCAAAAATAAAAATCCCCATCTACTTACCACCGACTGGGCTTGTGACCAAAAATCCGTTAAACTGTAATGCGGCGGACCAACAATTTGATATTTCTGGACAACAGCTGAGAAATGTCTCAGCACCGTGGTGTGGGTGCGGGCAATCGATTTGAATTGTTTAAAAATCACCTCCAGCAGTGTCAACAGCGGATAACTTTCATTCGAAATCAAGGGTGAATCAATCAATTGACGTGTTGTATTACGCACCACCTCCAACAGCTCCGTTTGAATGCCCACTCGTAGCTTTTCTATGGAGTCTGGCACTTTACCCAACATACCGAAACATTCGACGATTATGGCAATAAAATATGTCATACTAAGCTCAGGATCTAACAGATCAATGTCTTCAATGATTTCCGTTTTGGTGGGATCAACACCCTGAGCCATTTCCTGTAAGGCCTTGCGTATGCGGGCATTTGCCTCGATGCGATCTGTGGAACGTCGTGCCGTTATGTTGCGTGAGAAGCCTTGATTCAAACGATTCGAATTGGAACGTTGAAATGCTGACAGAACATCTTGGGCCGAATTGTGATAGATTTGCGATACCAATTCTTCGTGCAGCCTTTGATAGAGATGCTGGCGGCGACCCATTAAGTCGCTGCGTATATCGGCCAAACCCTCAACATCTTTTAGCGGGCCATTTATCTGGGTCAGGGCATCGGTTAGCTCTTTACTGGCATGCAAATACTGGCGTTTGGAGGTATAGCTAACCACACTTTGAGGCACTTTGCGTAAGTCATTACTGGAAAATTAAAAAAAAAATGAATCATACATTTTTTGTAAACCTTACTCCCAGCTACTTACATTTCTTCCAACATGGCCAAAACATATTTATGCTGCACTGCATCTGTCCACATTTTCTTTAGTTCCTCTCGTCTGCATTGCAGCAAACGCTTACAGGCATTTAGATTCTCTTTAACCGTGTGGATTTTCTCACGACTACCATTGATCTCCGATGAGACTTTGGTAAACAAGGGTATGACCTGCGACAACTGCTGGTCATGTTTGGATACCAAATCATTGAGACGTTGATCGGACTTTTTGAATTCCTTTTCGATTTTTTGTTTTTCCCTTTGCCGTTCCTCATTGGTCTCACTCAGACCCAGAGATTTGATAACATTAACAATAAGACCGCAACCCGCCTACAACCAAGAAAAAGAAGGAAGAGAAGATAAAAAAACACAATTAGAACAACGCCCACAAAATAATGCAGCAATTTTGTTTCCTGGGAGTCCTCATTTCTCAGCTTCCAAGGGGGTTTGTTTTTATTTTGTTTGGCGAAAGTTTGACATTTCTGTCTGTCATAACATCAGATAACAAACAGCGAAGAAAAAAAAAACAACTTTGCAAAATGTCATCATCATCATCACTGGGCCCAAAGTTTTTCTTTGGCCGACGTCGTCGTTGACCGACTTTTTGTAGGTGTTTTCTGGCAATTTATACATGGATATGCGTCGATTTTCCTGTAGTTTCCTATAGCTGTGACTCAGGTCTTTACTTTTAGCCACTTTTGGAGCTGTTCCTATTAATATATACCTCGTCTTTTCCATATTTAACAGCTCTTCTAGGTGGTTTTGTTGGTGGTGTCTCCATAATCTCTGTGACTGATGGTCAGTTGATTGGAGCTGGCAAACAATCGATGGCAATGTTGATAGCATCGATATTTTATTTTGATAGTCAAAGTGGAATGATAACATTTTCTGTCGACAGTTTTAACGTTGTGTTTCCATTGGCAATTGGACAAAGATTTAAAAGGGTCGTATGTTACGATTCGTTATTTATTGTCACGTTTTCATTTATCTGGAATTGTTGGTAAGTTGACAAGAGCTGTTAACAATCGATATCAACGTAGCTCGCAGTTGCAATTTTTTAATTTTAATTTGCATTGGTAGCCTTTTTTGTCGTTCTGTACTGATACCATGTTCCCATTGACATATGAATCAAATTTAACATGCTCGTACGCACAACTTGAAATTCTTAGTTTTTAACATGATAGAAGAATATAGGTAGACGCATCGACACAGCTGCTGGGAGAATGAACTGTCAAACCAATTTTGGAATTGAAAATGTTGAATGAAAATTTTTTTAAATTTGTAAAAATTGTTGAAAAACACGAATTATAATAACCTCCGAATGATGTCGTATAAGAACACATATAAAAATCTACTTATATTTGAAAAAACATTTAATTTTTTTGACATATCAATGCTCCCAAGCGTTGATGCATCTACCTGTATTCTTCTGCCATGGTTTTTAAAACAAATAACATGCAATATGGATTGAAATTTACTGAAAAAGTCTTTGTGTGTCCTTGAAATATATTGTATTTAAAAATTACATAATTTTCATTCATGTTTTTTCTTAAATGCGAAATTGTCGACCTTTTTAAATTTCTAAATAAAAAGAGAACTATTTTATTTTTGTAATAGGGACGCTCCTGAAAATATTCTTGTAAATATTGTTCAATATAGATCTCAGCTTTAGAATAGCCTTCAATTATTGATACTTTAAAAGTCCTAGTCTCATGTTTCAACTGTATAAACTTTTTCACTCACCTTTGTTTTAGTAGCTAATACTGCTACACTACATAAATTGGAAATGAAAGTCGGTGAAATTGCTTGCGAGTGATTTGAGAGAAGGATGAGACAAGTTGACAGATGTTTTGGTTCTAAATATCATACATATTATCATAAAAGAGAAATATTTAACATACGAACATTTTTCGAATTGTATTAGGAATCGGGTTTTAGTAAAAACTGTCCGAAATTATCCTGTGTAATTAAAAAAATAGCAAAATAAATTACAAAGCAAGCAACTGATTAGGCAAATTTTGGCTTACACATCGATTATTGCGTGTTTTTACAATACAATTAATTATAAAGGTGTAGGTACATAAGCAGCTTGAAGACTTCGCATGGCATATTTTGTGACATATCATAAAAAATTCCAGAGCCGCACTCGAATTCTGCAGTCGTTCCCCATATAATTAGACATTAATATGCCCAGCAATGATGTCAAGCTGCTTATGTACCCTCACCTTAATTTTGTTTACAGTTCATTTTGAATCCGATTCAATGAAATTGCAATTTAAATCTGCTATAGATTTAGACACTAAAAATATATTAATTCATAATTCCGCTTGGACCATTAATATGTCAAAAGTTTTGAAATGTTTTTTAAAGTAGATTTTTATGTTTTCTTATACGAAACCAATCGGACGTTGTTATCATATGCATTTTTCAATAAGTTTGACGAATTTGAATAATTTTTCATTCAAAATTTTCAATTTCAAAATTGGGTTGACAGTTCCTTGTCCCAGCATCTGTGTCGATGTATTCTTCTACCATGGTTAGGACCCATGACACAAACAGCTGATCAGCTAGACGAGTTGTCAAAACACTTATTGTGATTGAAATCACAGTACGAGAGATAAACAAAATGTAAACAAATATTGACATTTCGCCTGGGTGATGTAGCACTTGTTAATACCCATGGTAGAGGAATATAGGTAGATGCAAAAATGCTTGGGAAAATTAAAATGTCAAAATTTGCCAAAAAGTGTTTTGTCAAAACTAAGTAGATCTTTATATGTTTCCTTGTACGACGCAAATCGGAGGTTGTAATGATATGTATTTTTCAACAATTTTTACAAATTTCAATAATTTTTCAATTCCAAAATCGGTTTAACAGTTCATTGCCCCAGCAGCTGTGTCGATGCGACTACCTGAATTCTTTTACCATGTTAATATCCATCGACCAATTAAAGAATGTATCACGCTCGTCTGAACATTGTATTACTCTTACCTTGAGTGCCTTTTGATTAATTAAAACAAAGATTTATTTGTTTTTTTCTTCGTCTAAGAATTGTTGTTGTTGTTATTGTTTGTTTGTTTTTGTTTTATTGAAATACATACGTTTTCGAAAGTACATTTTATTACGATTTCTTTTTTTGTTTGTTTTTAATATAAATATTTCGTTAAGATATATGTATATGTTTGTGTTTGCTTTGGTATGTTCCGCAAAAAAAATGTATTCAAAACATTATCCGTTTGTTTTTCTTTCTGTTTTGTTCTTTTGTTTTTTTTTTTAAGAAACTACATATTTATGCTTTGATTAATTGTTTTTCATTTAATTGGTGCACTTAAATGTATTCAAAAGCCAACATTTAATATGTAATGGCATACTAGTTTATTTATTTAAGCAAATTTTTCTTTTTGTTTTTTTTTTTTTTATTAAGAAAACAGTTTTTAAACGCGGCGATTTTTTATTGTTTAACTGTCAAATTACATGGGCACATATCAGAACATTGAAGTTTTCATTCAGTTTGATATGTGGCCAGGTGGTTTTAAATTATGCCCTAACGTTACAGTGTTGCATACTTTGCGTTTTATTTGACATATTTTTAAAAAATATGTTTTCAAATAAAAAACGCACTACGAAATCTGAAGGATCTTTGAAAATGTGTCAACTGAACGACATATTTCCTTTAAGGGCATACAATACGTCAGAATTAAAAAACCGCAATTCTTAACACTGTCCTTGCTAATATCTCAATGTTGACAAAGTGCTTAACAATTTCTTGGGGGGATGAACTTGTATGTGAAAGTGGTATGGGGAGATGTGCTCATTTTCTTAAAATCTTTTTCGAGTTTTTCTTGGTTTTTTGTAAAAATTTCAAAAAGATGGTGACGACAAACGGGGGGACTTCTCTTTGGAGATATTAAAATTTGTGGTTTTCTATAAAATCGGAGGTATTTTTAATTTTCTAACGATTTTTTTTTTCTACCAAAATTTCGGGAGATTTCAATTCAACAAAACATTTCGGAAGAACCATAAGGAATACAAAATAATGGTGTTGTCTTCTTGTAACTTTTCTTGTTTTTTATAGATTAAAGGAAGTATATTTTCTTTTCTCGATTTTTTTTTTCAGGTGGGCTAAATAATACAGCATCGTTGGGGTGCTACATATATATGTTTGTATGTATATATACCTAAATGGCAAGTATTATTTTTATATATATTTGTTTGTTTTTACAAAATAATATAAAAATTGGTACTTTTACATTTATAAAAAATAAACTCAACGATAGGTTTGTAGATTTCCATTTTGAGGTTAGGTATTATTTTTATAAAAAAAATATGAAAAAAACAAATTAATAATTTATAACAATATTTTTCTTTTTTTTTGTTTAAATAATAAATTCTCTAATTGTACAATTATATATTTTCATTTATATAAGGTGTGTTTGCGTGTGAGTATGAATAAATCTTTTTTTCTTTTGTATTGTTTTTATACAAAAAAAATTACTTTCTTTTACTAACATTTTCTTGTTGTCAATTGTTTTTTTTTTGTTGGTTTTGTTATAATTAACTTATTCCCTCTAATATAATATATGTATATGTGTGTGTGGTTATTTCTTTCTGTTTTGGCAAATTTGAATCGATTTATAATAATTTATTTTCTGTTTTTTTTTTTTTAATTTTGCGTTGTTTTTGAATCCAAAATTAATGGGAATTTTAAATATTTATTTATTGGTGTGTCCATCAATTTATTTCTTAATTTCGTTGTTTATAATGCTAAGACGTCGAATGTTGGGCTTGTCATAGTCTTCCATTGAAATCCCTCTGGAAAGACGTCGCGTACCATTGGTTCCATCAAACGATCCCGAACTGGTGGAAAAGGCACGTCCACGATCAACACCGGGCATTACCACGGAAGTCAGTAGACCTTGGCCTTTGCAGAAGAGTAGAATCGATTGGGCCACCTTGGCGGGCTGGAAAATAGAACAGAAAAAAAAAATAATCAAATAAATGGTATTCTTGAAATTGTCATGTGTAAACATGGGATAGTTTTTAGGGATTTATAGTTTTGGACGAGTTTGTCAATATTTATAAAAAACTCTGCGGGAAAATGTCTTATGTTTGATGAAAGATCAGCTGATTGACACTAAAATATCTCAAAGACAAATGTAAACGATTCGGTTTCTATACCTATTTAAAATACTGAGCTAATTTTTTATGGCATATCCAACTGTTATCCATATCTTTTGGCCCTTGAATTACAATAAATTCATATTTAGGGGTCGAATAACAATTGAGAGAGATTACATAGTTCGTCTGAACACTATATTATAGAATACATGTAGATGCATCAACGCTTGAGAGCAATGATATGTTAAAAATTTTAAAATGTTTTTCCAGACTCAAGAAGATTTTTATGTGGAGGTTGTTATGACATGCAGTTTTCAACAATTTTTGAAAATTAAAAAAATTGCTTATTATAATAACCTCATATTTGCGTCGCATAAAAAACATAAAAAATCTAATTATTTTTGACAAAGCATTTTACAATTTTTGACATTTCAATGTTCCCAAGCGTTGATGTATCTATCTATTCTTCTACCATGTGTTTAATTATGAAGAATCAGCTGATTGGTTCTAAAATATCTTAAAGGTATATTTAAACGATTGGATTTCTGTACCTATTGAAAATACTGGGTTTATTTTTATAGGAATATATCAACAATAATCCAGATATATTCTCGCTGAATTACAATAACTTCATATTTAGGGGTCGAATAACAATTTACATAGTTCGTCTGAACACTATATTACATTTATATTGTTGAATGATATTTATTTTAATGAAACATTTTATAAAAAAATTAATTTATAAAAATTACCTAAGAGTATAAGTAGGTTTACACCTACTAAATTGAGTGGCAACTCCACGACTCTTAACGCCTGTGGATTTAATTTGATGTATACGTAATGAAATTGACAGTTAAAATCCACTGGATTATACGTGAAGGGTGTTTATGGAAACCTATACAAAATTCAGTGCTTTTCAACTGTCAATATCTGTGTATTTCGTATACGTAAATGGAAGACTTTAGGGGACCTGCCCACACGCTATGTTGCTTTTCAACAAGAGGAGTACTGCGAAAAATGAAATGAGAACATTCCTGTTTGTCCGGCGTTGATAGCATCAGTTATTGCCTCTTTTTTTAATGGAAGTCACAATAGAATATCGATGCATGGCCACACGTCAATTTTACTAGTTTTTTAAATAAAATCTTATTTTTATGACTTTTTGAGAAGTATTTTGAGCTTTTCTCTTGTAAATTTGATGAACATAGAGTAGATCTACCTAAATATGTTTGATATTTGATATATGTAAACAAAAATCAGCTGATTGGCAATATAGTAACATTACTATTAACCTATTAAAAAGGCTTAGTTTTTATAAAACTATAAATTTCTAAACTATTTCGTCTTAACACCATATCACATAATGTTGCATGGTAAAAAAAACATTGATATGTCAAACATTTAAAAATATTATGTCAAAAATAAGTAGATGTTATATGGTTTCTTATACGACGCCAATCGGAGGTTATGATGATATGCATTTTTTTGACAATTTTTACAAATTTGAAAAATTTTTCATTAAAAAGATTCAATTTCAAAGTCGGTTTGACAGTTCATTTTCCCAGCAGCTGTGTCGATGCGATTACCTGTATTCTTCTACAATGATATGTCTCATATTTGATATAAACAAATCAGCTGATTGGCACTTGAACATTACTGTCTTTCGCTGTCTTTTAAAAGGTTTGAGTTTTTATTAAAGAATAAATCTATAAATTAGATACACACCCATTAGGGTGCGAAAAAAACACGATCGAACTTATCATGTTCGTCTGAACACTGTATTACATTTATAATGTTGCATGGTAAAATAATACAGGAAGATGCAGCAACGCTTGGGAACATTGTTTCTTATTGGAAGCCAAAATTTTTACTAATTTCAATAATTTTCCGTTGAACATTTTCAGTTCTAAAATCGGTTTGACAGTTCATTGTCACAGCAACTGTGTCCATACGACTACCTGTATTCTTCTACCATGATATGTCTCATATCTGATTGGCACGGAAACATTACTGCTTTTCGCTAAGTTTTTATAAAACTATAACTCTTTATACTGTCCTTGAAGTATAAACTATTTATTATTAGGGGACAAAAAAATATAAGCGAACTTATCATGTTCGTCTGAACACTGTATCACATTTATAATGTTGTCTACTTGCGCTTTTCAAACAAAAAGTCCCATTAGTTTAAGGGTGCTTGGCCACACGTCAATCTTAATAGCCTTAAAACAAAATCTAACTTTTATGACTTTTTGAGAATAATTTCAACGTTTCTTTCAAAAATTTAATAAATATAGTGTGAATATACTAATATGGAAGAGATATTTTCGTATTACTTTATTTTTTAAATTATTTTCTATTCCGTTTGACTTACCGCATCAGCCAATACATCGCCGGCTCTTTCAATTTTCAGCATGGTCACCTTTTCCTTTTCAATATCACGATGTAATTTCTCCACCATGGAAGCATAGGGACTTAACATACCCGTAATTAGAATAACATCCACCTTGCATCCTTTCAATGTTAAATCTTTGCGACTGCAAAAATGAAATTGGCGCAAGGGAGCAGCAGTAAATAACAAATGCACACATAGGCGAGTGGGAGGAAAAAACGAAATGTAAATAATAAAAATATGAAAAGAGAGAAAAAGAAATATTAAAATTCATTCATCATTGTTTGGAAATGTACATACAGACACACATATGTTTATAACAGTTTTTATTTATTCTTTTATTATCATCATCATTCATTACTTACTTCATAAATGCCTTAACATAGAGACCCACATTTTTACTGTTCAACGAGCTACGCAAACGTTTCTGATATTCCGTAACGATTTTCTCCTTGTCCGGATTATCACCAACCAATTGCTGCATAACATCCCAGCGTAAGATGATGAATTCAAAATTGTCCACAAAACGAAATGATTGGTTATAGTGGGGTTCGGTTTACACAATTGCAGGGAGAATAAGCATATTTGATTGATTGGTTTGTGGGTGTTGCGGGTAAATATAGATAATCCCAAGCGTAGGTTTTTTTTATTGGCAAAAGGGAGAGAAATTCAAAACGAGTTTAGTATTAGCATATAGTATAGGTTATTATTCAAAAAAAAAAAAGTTCATACATAATTTATAGAAAATATATTTAAGCATACATTTTACTAAGACAGGCATTAAAAAAATGTGTGTGTTTGGAAATGTTGACATCATGCTTAGTTTCGATAGAAATAAATAAGGGTAACTATACTATTGAATGGCGTAAGTCATCGGCTGGCTTCTTCGCAAAAGAACAAAGGGACGTATGGCCAAAATCGAACTAAGTCAACCTAAAACTCCTTTGTTCCTCTATGAAGAAGCCAGCCGATGATTTAAGCCAGTCAAAAAAGCGTTTTAAGGTGCAAGTGCATACGAAGCTTGAAGTCATGGCTAGGGATATTCATGTCAAATTATAATGGATAACGTCGGCTGGATTTTGGTGCGGCTCTGTAATCCCTTTATGAAATGTCACAAAATATGCCTAGCCATGACTTCAAGCTTCTTATGTACCTACACTTTTATGTATTCTCATCTTAATTTTTTCTTGGTGGCTGCAAGAAAAAAGTATTTGAAAATGGGGTTTGAGAAAAATGCTAAGTCCTAATTACGACGATGATTAAAAAAGAATGAAGAGATAACGCAATCGTTAAATTTATCACCTAAATCCCGCTACATTCACATTCAAAGTCTGCTTTACATCGTCACGAGTTTTAGAAAGATTCGTTATTTATTTGACGTATTTTTTTCAAAGGATTTTTAATCAAAGGAATTGACAATCTAAAAAACGTGTTTTATTAAAACATGTTTAGTGTAAAAACACACACATAATAAATCCAGTGGATTCCAACTGTCAATTCCATTGCATATACGTCAAATGAAAACCGCTGCATTTGAGAGTCAAATTAATTTGACATATGTGCAATGGAACAATGGCATTTAAGATCCAATCGATTTACTAAGTGTAAACATACTTTAAGACTTTAGACTATATTAAATCAAACTCGTTTTAAAATTGTCTGTAAGATTTATATTATTGATTTGTTCCGGAAATGCAAGAATGTAAAAGTTTTTACTACCATAACCGATTTTCCCATTATAACATCGAAGAAAATTCAAGACTAGTAGATTCTTGTAGGTTATGTTCTAGTATCAGTAAATCTAAAAGACATGATTTATTAAAACGAGTTTCATTTAATATAACGTAAAGCCACATATTTATGGATTATACGTCAAATAATAATTTTCAATGGTACAAATAAATAAGTACGCTATTTACACAGCTGATTATCGGAATAGCTGTCAAAATAAGTTTTGATTAAAGTTACAGTACGAAATGTAAACAAATGGTAAAAACAGTAACAAATATTGACATTTGTCAGTCTGACATTGAAAAAAGAAAAAAAAGGGGAAATGTGCAAACTTCTTGGCCGAAAAAGTATGGCAAGGAAGATCTGATAAAAATATCAAAATATGATGGCAACCATTCAAAATCTATATGTTGACCAATCAAAAAAGCTGTCAAACTACTTTGTGGTGATCGAAATTACAGCAAGTATTGCAAACTCTGATTGGTGTCGTATAAGAAAACTTATAAAAATCTACTATTGATGAATTAATAGTCATCCGTCAAATAGAATATCCTGTGAAATTGACAGTTCAAATACAGCGGACATTGTAAATGTAAACATATGCTCTGTTTCAGAACCTGCATGAATCTACTATTTTTGAAGTTTTTTTCCGATATCTTTAAGGCTAAGGCTGCAAATACATAAAAAGCTTGAAGTCATGGCTAGGCATATTAATGCCAAATTATAATGAAAAACGACGGCAGGATTTTAGTGCGGCACTGTAATTCCTTTGTGAAATGTCACAAAATAGGCCGTGCCATGACTTCAAGCTTCTTATGTACCTAGCCCTTAAATCGGTTATCGCAGTGAAAAGGTTGGTTCTTGCAGTTCTGAAAAAATACTTTTAGTGTGTGTTTAAATTAGACTATCTTTTTGTTGGTTTAATTATAGAGTTGTATGGCCACATACCGAGTCATATTGGCAGATGACAATATGACATGTAAATATTGACAACTTAAATTAAAATGTTTTCACAATCAATTTATGATAACGGATGCTAATTACTATTTTAAAAATAACATAGTTTCTAAAATAATATTTTTTTCTTAAAATGCATGAATTAAATAAATTCTAAAACAAATGTATTTGAAAAAAGTGTAGGCTTGTATAATAGTATAGGCTAAGGTAAGAAACTTTTAAAAATGCACGACTTAATAACAAGAAAAAAATGGGATAACTAAGCGATTTAAAAAAATGGAATAACTAAGCGACTTAGTCCCTGTTCACACGTCACTGTTTTGATAGCATTAGGCGTGTACAATAACTCAATAGTTTGTACGAGTTATTGTAAATTGTTGCTCAATGATGCAAAAGACCAGTAAATGAAAGCGCGTGAAGAGTTCAATTTTGACAGTTCAGATACTGAGATTTTGCAAATTCCTATTGGGAGATTAGAATTATTTAGCGCGTCAGCTGATGGGAAATCAGCTGTTTTGGGACCAATAGAAAATGTTTACAATCTTCAGACAATAATCAATTATTTTTCAGATAATAAACATTGAGCATCGATAATAGCAAAAATTTACTCATTTTCGCTATAAAAATTATAATATTTATTCGATTTTAACAGCTTTAAAGCTGTTTTGTTAAATGCTGCAAAACAGCTGTTTTGTTTTTATATTTTACTGAATGTTGTTCGATAACTTTTCGATAATAGTACGACAGAGAAATTTGTCTTAATATAAAATGCAGGGCATATTTTACTGGAAAAAATATCGTACACTGCTGTTGTTACATATACACCATGGTAGAAGAATACTGGTAGATGTTGATACATTTGTGAACATTGATATGTCAAAAAAATTTAAATGTTTTTTTTTTTGAAATATAAGTAGAGTTTTATATGTTTTCTTATACGACGTCATTCGAAGTTTATTATAATTCGCGGTTTTCAACAAATTTTACAATTTTAAATAATTTTTCATTTAACATTTTCAATTCCAAAATTAGTTTGACAGTTCATTGTCCCAGCAGCTGTGTCGATGCGACTACCTATATTCTCATACCATGATATATGCATTTATAAAACTAGTTATTTAGATTGGCAATTCCTATGGTCATACGCTCCAATGTAAACATAGCTTGATTCAAATGTGTGAACAGGGACAACATGTTCAATTTACGAATTGACTAAACTAGGAAAACTAAGCGAAGGAATGAAACAAAAAAAGAAAAAACTTTGTGAAAACTATAAATTGCTTTTAAATTGATTTAAAAATTTAATTACAATACCTCCATAACCTGAGTGTGTGTAACGAATTGGTTTTTTTTTTTCACATAGTTGTGTTTTATATTTGTTAATACAAACAATTTGTTGGTTTTTGTGGGATTAATTGAATAATAAACAAAGAAACAGAAGAAAAACAAACACATGTAGTTGTTTTTTTTTTGGTTTTTCAATTCAATCACATCCCCATGAATACATAATTACAAGGTTTACAAACAAAAAACCAACCAAAAAAGGTAATTGTATTAATCATAAAAAAGAAGAAGAGAAAAAAAAGAAGAGATAAAGAAAGAAGAAGATAAAAAGGTTACACATTTATACACATGTATTCAAAACCACATTGATATTAAATATTCATACAACATAAATCAACGTGATGAAAAGGATACAGGAGGTGGAGGAAGAGGGGTTGGAGGGTTTATAAAGAGGATTACATCCAATTTAATGTTTTAAAATATGTATATATAGGCACATCATTGAATATACACAATGTGTATAAATGTATGTGGGGAAAAAGGGAGATTTATTTTTGTTACTTGCACAGTGTTCATACGTTGCAGTGATTTCATTGGTAATCATTTAAAGGTGGTTGGCCACATATCAAATTAGCATGAATAACCAAAAATGTCTGAGACTTACGGGGCGAGATGAAAAAACTGCAACCAACTTCAGACTGCTGTGAACTACCGAATTTGGTTTTCTCCGATGAGAAAACATTTGTTGTCTATAGCTCGTTACCGTGATAGCGTAGCTCGATGTCAAGGAAGTTGATGAAAGAAAACAGCATAATCAGCAGAAATTGTTCGAAAAGTGACTTGATCGAAACCCACGTCGCAGTGGCCAAAAAATGGCTCGTGAGCTGAACATGTCGCAATATTCCATTCAAAAAAATATTGAAAAATGAGCTCGTGGTAAAGCCATTGAAATTCCAAAAAGTGCAGAACTCACACCGCAACAAAAAGAAAATAGACTAAAAAGAGCTAAAGAGTTGCTTCGCCTAGCCGAAAGTGGTGAACTGTCGAATTTGGTTTTCTCCGATGAGAAAACATTCGTTGATCGTTTTTACTTCTGCCAAAGAGATCAGCTGAAAATGTGCACCTTCGGTTGGCCACCAGAACTCAAACGCCGGTCATGGTGATGGTGTGGGCCGCCATAACAGCTGATGGTCCTCTCCCCTCGTATTAATCGACCGTGGCATCGGAATAAATGCCGAATATTATCGCTAAAATATTCTGGAGGGTGTATTAATGCTTTGGGCACGCAAACATTTTGGCCGCAGAACTTGGAGATTCCAACAGGACTCAACACGCGCCACCCAAGAATGGTTACAAAATGAGGTTCCTCGCTTAATTTCCGGGGCACAATGGCCACCAAAATCTCCGGATACCAATCCGTTGGACTATTGTGTCTGGAGTATTTTGGAAAGCAAGGTTGGCACTAAAAAATAACAAAGTGTCGATCACCTCAAGTAAGTGCTTCATGGGAATGAGCCAAAATGCCGCAGATCAACATTCGGGCAGCGTGTGACGGTTTCATTGGCCGTTTGAAGGCCATTATTCGTGCCAAAGGTGACTAATTCGAACAAATCTTAACTTATTCTAAAATTTGCTGATATTTCCGACATTTTTGTTTTCATTCAAAAAAAAAAAAAAAAAAATAAATAAATAAATAAATAAAATATAAAAAATGCAAAAATTATGTCGTTTGACTTTGTTGCAGTTTTTTTTATCTCACGCTGTAATGTGCCAATTTGATATGTGACCAGTTAGCTTTACATATTGGCCAATCACAATAATAACACTTCTTGTTTGTTCCATCTATAGACGACTCTCTCTCTTTCTCTCTCTTCAGAGAGTCTTTAGATTCCAAAGTGTGACAAGACAAGAAAAAAAAAAAAAAGAGAGGGCTGCGTATGAACACCGGTGCTAAAGGGCATTTCTTGGTGTGGTTTTAATTTCTTTACATACAAAACGGAAAAAAACGACACTGAAACATTTATTTCCTTTCTTTTCACAAAGGAAGTTATTCAAATATGGATTATCCTGGCACTCAATCTACTTACATGACCAAATTTATGATACATTAGGAAACTTTCGGCCGATTGGGCAATGTCATCATTGTTCCATTGGATAAACTGGAAATGAAGATAAAGAATTTTAAATTAATTTAATGATTTATACTTCCTAAAGGAAATTTCTCAACTTACCTTCGTCTTAAACGACTGCAATACCGAAGCGGCACTGCCAGTAGCATTGATCAAAATCAAACCCAAAACACGTGTTGGATGGGCCAAACCGAAACGGGCCAAAACATTGGCGCCAGCACCCTCGCCCAGACCCATTACATATTTGACATGTAAGAAGTCCAAAACGGTGACCAGATCCTCACCCAACATTTGCAAAGAGGGGAAATTGAAGCTGGAAGGGAAAAAATATAATTAATTCGCTTTTGGTCAAAAATTACGTTAAGTTGTTGGTAAGTACCTATCTGGCAGAGCCTCAGCATTATCGGCATGTCCGGGCACATCAATGTGTATGAAGCAAGAACGTTCCTTGATTTCGGTCATGCAAGGACTGTTGACGAATTCCTGGAAGGAGTTGTCTGAAAGAGATGGGTAAAACAAACAAATAAATCAAAAATAGATTAGTATAACAGTTAAAAAATAAATCATCAATCATTTGTTGCACTCAGGGTGTTTAAATCGACAAACTGATAAAATAAAAAACACAAAATGGCGTCCTTAATGGATTCAAATGAAATAAAGAATGTGAAAAATTGTTAAGAATTTTGAAAAAAATGTATAACAATTTGGAACAAAACCGTTATACACAAAATGTTTCCAAAAAAATTGTGGAAGATACTCGTTATGGTTTCCAATTGTCTATAAATTGTAAAAGTTCGCCAAAAACCGTTAAAATAAACTGTATAACAGTTTTCCGAAAAACTGCTATACGCAAAACAAATCTTTAAAAACGTGAAGATTGTCATTTATACAGCTTTAAAAGTTTAAGAATCATAAAAACCAACCCCTAACACACAGCAAAAGTGTATAATAGTTGTAAACAAAACTGTTATACACGTAATTTTTTTCCACAAAATATAAGAAAATGTTGGTGTTTGGAATGTTTTGGAAAATGTAAAAATATTAAAAAAAAAAAACGTTTTAAATGTGTATAAAAGTGTTACATGAAACTGTTATACGCTGAAATTTGCTCAGAAGACTAATAAAAGAGTCCACTATTGATTTAAATGTGTTATGAAGTGTAAGAGTATACATAAAGACGCAAAAAAGTGATGTATAACAGATTCGACTAAACTGTTATACAGAAAATAACTCTCATAAAAATATTTTTCAGTGGTAATTTATGCTTCTTATGTGTTGGAAAATGTAAAAGAGAAAATACTAAAAAGTACGTATAACAGTATAAAATAAAACTGTTATAATTTTCACAAAATATGAATATAGGATATAAAATTGAAACTTTAATACTCTAAAAATTTTTCAAAAAAGTACAAAAGAAACTCAATATTGTTTGGAATGTGATATAAAGTGCAAAACCCCTCTTAAGAGTGCAAACAGTGATATGTAAAAGTTTTGATTAAACTGTTATACAGGAACATTTTTTTCAAAAATGTTAAAAAAATAATTTTTTTTCACTTTTTTAGAAAATGTAAAAAAATTTAGGCCACCCAGAAGAGCAATGTGTGACAGTAATATCTAAAACTGTTGTATTTTGCAACATTTGTTACATTGTGTTAGAAAAATTAAAAATCCCTGAAAAGTGATTTATAACAATATTAATAAAAACTGTTATACTTTGAAAAACATATGAAAGTGGTAAAACAAAAATTCACCAGAAAAAAAAACTGAAAATTAGATTACAACAGCATAAATTAAAACTGTTATACACGGAAAATTGCTTAAAAGTGCACAAAAGGAGCCCATTATTGCCTTAAATGGGTTCTAAAATGTACAAACATACTGAAAGACGTAAAAAGCGGTGTATAACAGTTTCGATCAAAAATGCTATACATGAAAAAAATTCCTAAAAATGTTTTAAAAATTTAATTTGTTCTTTATTATGTGTGAAAAATAAGAAAACATCTGAAAAGTGATGTATAACAGTATTAACTAAAACCGTTATACTTTGAAAAACATATGAAAGTGGTGCAGTATGGGTGCATACGAGGTATAAAACAAAAATTCACCAGAAAAAAACTGAAAACTAGATTATAACAGCATAAATTAAAACTGTTATACACGGAAAATTGCTTAAAAAGTGCACAAAATTAGCCCATTATTGCCCTAAATGGGTCATAAAGTGTACAAACATACTGAAAGACGTAAAAAGTTATGTATAACAGTTTCGATAAAAACTGTTATACATGAAAAATATCCCAAAACATGTTTTAAAAATGTAATTTGTTCTTTATTATGTGTGAAAAAATAAGAAAACAACTTGAAAGTGATTTATAACAGTAATAGTCAAAACTGTTATACACGATTATATCTGAAACAATATATAAAACAATTCGCCAAAAAATGAAAAAAAGTGGTATTCAGTGTGTTAAAAAGGCAAAAACATTAGAAAATACCCTATAACCCCAGTAATCAAAACTGTTATACATGAAAAACGCAGAGAAATAATAAAAAAATTATCTATTATTGTTTTAAATGTGTTACAAAATGCAAAAAACTTCAAATAATGCTGTATAACAGTTATCGTCAAAACTGTTATACACGATTATATGTGAAACAATATATAAAAAATTGCCAAAAAATGAATAAAGATGGTCTATTATCATTTTCAGTGTGTTAAAAAGGCAAGAAACATTGAAAATGCTATATAACACCTGTAATTAAAACTGTTATACATGAAAAAAACTCACAAAAAATAATAAAAATTTGGTCTATTTTTGTTTTAAATGTGTTACAAAAGGCAAATAACATGAAATAATGCTGTATAGCAGTTATGGTCAAAACTGTTATACAAGATTATATGTGAAACAATTCGTAAAAAATTAATAAAGGTGTTCTATTATCGATTGAAATGTGTTAAAAAGTCAAAAAATTGAAAAATACCGTATAACAACCCAGTAATCAAAACTGTTATACATGAAAAAACTCACAAAAATAATAAAAATGTTGTATATTATTGTTTTAAATGTACTACAAAAGCCAAAAAACTTCAAATAATGCTGTATAACAGTTATAGTTAAAACTGTTATACACAATTATATCTGAAACACTATATAAAACAATTCGCCAAAAATGAAAAAGCGGTCTCTTATCATTTTCAGTGTGTTATAAAGGCAAAAAACTGTTATACATGAAAATAATCACGAAAAAAAAAAATAAAAATTGGTCTATTATTGTTTTTAATGCGTTACAAAAGGCAAATAACATGAAATAATGCTGTATAACAGTTATAATCAAAACTGTTATACACAATTATATCTGTAAAAACATATAAAGCTATTCGCCAAAAACGAATAAAGGTGGTATATTATCGCTTAAAATGTGTTAAAAAAGGCAAAAATCATTGAAAAATACCGTATAATCCCAGCAATCAAAACTGTTATACTTGAAAAAAAAACTCATAAAAATAATAAAAATTTGGTCTATTATTGCTTTAATTTGTTTACAAAAGGCAAAGAACATCAAATAATGCTGTATAACAGTTATAGTCAAAACTGTTATACACAATAATATCAGAAACACTATACAAAACAATTCGCCAAAAATAAAAAAGCGGTCTATTATCATTTTCAGTGTGTAAAAATACTGAAAAATACTGTATAACTCCATTAATTAAAACTGTTATACATGAACAAAATTACAAAAATAATAAAAAATGTGGTCTATTATTATTTTAATTGGTTTACAAAAGGCAAAAACATCAAAATATGCTGTATAACAGTTATAGACAAAACTGTTATACACGATTATATGTGAAACAATATATAAAATAATTCGCAAAAATGAATAAAGGTGGTCTATTATTCCTCGAAATGTGTTAAAGAGGCAAAGAACATAAAAAATCGTAAAACCCCAGTAACCGAAACTGTTATACATGAAAATACTCACAAAAATAATAAAAATTTTATCTATTATTGTTTTAAATGTGTTAAAAAAACGATTATATCTGAAACAATATATAAAAAAATCGCCAAAAAATTAATAGAGGTTGCCAATTATAGTTTTCAATGTGTAAAAAAGGCAAAAACATTGAAAAATACCGTATAACCCCAGTTATTAAAACTGTTATACATGAAAAAACCCATAAAAATAATAAAAATTTGGTCTAGTATTGCATTAAATGTGTTACAAAATGCAAAGAACTTCAAATTATGCTGTATAACAGTTATAGTCAAAACTGTTATACACTATTATATGTGAAACAATATATAAAAAATCGACAAAAAAGAATAATGGTGGATTATTATTGCTTGAAATGTGTTAAAAAAAAGCAAAAATCATTAAAATATACCGTATAATCCCAGTAATCAAAACTGTTATACGTGAAACTACTCACAAAAATAATAAAAATTTGATCTATAATTGTATTAAATGTGTTACAAAAGGCAAATAACATGAAATAATGCTGTATAACAGTTATGGTCAAAACTGTTATACACACATTTTTTCGTAAAAATGTATGAAAATTATAGTAATAATTCATTATTTTCCAAAATTGATAATTTAATTGCAACTCTTAACTGTTATAATGCAATATAAAGTGATTCCCTTCTAGAAAATGGAAAAGTAATGATGGACAAATTAATTTATAAAAAAACAATGCCATTTGCATCGTTTGCCCTCCCCCTTTAAAGTGCATAATTCCAACACCAATATAAGCGTTAATGTGCATAATATTGTTTGTAACTAACTAATTAATTAACGGTTAACAACCTTTTGCAGGTTGAATTCATTTGTAACCTCTTGTCAAATGACTGCACAATTTAGTCGAGCGTCACGTAAACCTAATGAATAAGGGTTGTGTTTATTTTTAGATATTCATTTGTGTGGTTGTGTGTATGTGTGAGTGGCGTAGAATACAAACAAAGGTATAAATATTAGCTAGGAAAGTGTTATACTCACGATTGCATCCTAAATCATGGACCGTAATAAAGACAGCACGTTTTTCCTGTTGTGTTAAATCACCCTGTTCGGATAGAAAAAAAAGAAAAAAAAATATGAAGATGGAAAATATGACAATTAACAAAATGTATAGAAGAAGAAGACCGAGAATTAATTGGCATTATTTAATTATTAATGAGCTGGAAATTGAGGGTGGAACTTTTAAGAATTAAGGTCAGATTGAAGAAATTTATGAAAACAATTTATATGAATTATTACAAATAATATAATTGCAGGATAAATTTGTCATATTCGTTTTAATGTTTTTTGATTTAATTTCATATTTCTTTAATCTGACCTTCTGTTTGTTTTGAACTTTGTTTTTGCTTTGAAGAGGCAAATTCTCTGGAATTTAGTTGTTTTCCCGCAGTAATATCCTTTTATTTGTTTTCTTTTTATTCTAAATTCCCAAGTGTATAAACATTTTCATATATATATACATATATTTATTTTATTTAATTTTATACAGAGAGTAACTAAAGTGGGTATGCACTTTAAAAATTTCTTAAAATTTGAAAATTAATTTTAAAAAATTAAAAAAATAAATTAGAAATGTTTAGAATGCACGAGAGAAGAAATTTTTATTGGAGTATCAACCCACTTTTACCGCTCTCTGTATAAAAATAAACCCGATTGATAAAAAAAAAACAAAATTTTTCTTCTCCATACATATCTGTACAGTACATATAAACATTTTCATATTATTGCCTCTTCAAATAGACATATATTTATTTTATTTCATTTTTACAGAGAGCAACAAAAGTGGGTATGCACATTAAAAATTTCTTTATTTTCAAAAATTAAAAAAAAAATAAATAAATAAATTAGAAAAGTTTAGAATGCACGAAAAAAGAAATTTTTATTGTATTACCAACCTACTTTTATCACTCTCTGTACAAACATAAATTCCATTTATAAACAAAAAGAAAAAAAACTAATATTTTTCTCCTCCATACATACCCGTACAGCACATATAAACATTTTCATATTATTGCCTCTTCAAATAGACATATATTTATTTTATTTAAATTTTACAGAGAGCAGCCAAAGTGGGTATGCACTTTAAATTTTTTTTTTAAATTTGGAAATTAATTAAAAAAAATAAATTAGAAATGTTTAGAATGCACGAAAGTAGAAATTTTTATTGAAGTACCAACCCACTTTTACGCTCTCTGTATAAAAATAAACCCCATTTATAAAAAAAAAAAAACACAAATATTTCTCTCCTCCATACATACCTGTACAGTAACGGTAAGTTCACCACTTTTATCCGTATTAACAATATATTTCTAGAATAGAATAAAAGAAGAGTAAAAAAAATAAATAAATTTACATTCCAGGGCATTTTCGAACAATACATGGGACTACAGGGCTACAAAGACAAATACATCCACAAACACGCTCTAGCACAAGACTGATGAGCATCATAGCTTATTGTGCAACAAGAATGTGTAGGATAGGGTTATGGGGGCAATATGTGTTTGGTATTTGAAATTATAGCATGAAATAAAAAAAAACATAAAAAATTACGCATAAATAAAATATGAGGCTATGAAATGACCAAGATGTATTTCGAGAGAGAGTGTAAGGATATATCAGGCAGAACAATGGCCTTTTAATAGCTGGCAAATGATTTTCAATTTAATTCGAATGCTTTAGAATGTGAAATAAAAATTATTATAAAGGCAGGAAATGTCAATGAAAAAATGTAAAAGGAATATATTTTTATTTCATTTATTCATAGAGCAAGAATCCGGGGTCAAATATCTCATATAAAACCACAAGAACAGACACTGGATTCTTGTTCCATGAAAATATGAAATTAAAAATATTTTATTTACAAAATTTTACAAGTTTTCATTTCAAATTTTTATAGAACAAGAATTGAGCCCCAAAAATAGAAAAATGAGAAATAACGAAGTTTATCCATGAAACCTCAAAATATACTTTTACCGAATTCGATTTTCGAAAATGGACAATATCAGCCCACTATATCAAGTACCTCCCCCACAAAGGGTGAAAAATTTGAATAATAACAATTCTTATAAAATGTGAAATAAGAATCCAATTGTCTTCAAATTTGGTGCATCCCAGAATTTTTAGGAATACATGAATTGGTATGAAGAACAGATAGAATGGAACACTCCTTCTGGTACCCCACCTACAACGAGTTAAAATTTTGAGTAATTATAACTCTTTAAAAATTGTGAAATCATAGTCCGATTCCTTTCAAATTTCACTAATTTCAAGAATTTTACCAACACAAGATCTGGTGTGAAGATGGGATATTTCGGTCCACTCCTTCTGGTACCTCCCGCACAAAGGACCAAAATTTTGAATAACGATGAAGCTCATAAAACGCGAAATGAGCTTTCGATTACTTTCAAACTCGGCATATCCCAATATATCATCCCACAAAAGATCTGGTGTGAAGATGACAAAAATTGGCCTGCCCCTTGTGGTAGCTCCTCCAGAAAGGGTCAAAATTTGTAATAATTATAACTCTTCAAAAATTGTAACATAATTGTCCGATTCTTTTCAAATTTCACTAATCTCAATATTTTTACCAACACAAGATCTGGTGTGAAGATGGGATATTTCGGTCGACTCCTTCTGGTACTTCCCCCACAAAGGGTCAAAATTTTGAATAATTCTAATTCTTCTCTCATAAAATGCGAAATAAGCATCCCATTGCCTTTATAATTCGCACAAACCAATATTTTTATTAACATAAGATCTGGTGTAAAGATGGGATATTTCGGTCCACTCCATCTGGTACCTCCCCCACAAAGGGTCAAAATTTTGAATAGCCATGAAGCTCGTAAAATACGAAGTGAGCTTTCGATTCATATCAAACACGGCATATCCCAATATATCATCCCACAAAAGATCTGGTGTGAAGACGACAAAAATTGGCCTGTCCCTTGTGGTAGCTCCCCCACAATGGGTCAACATTTTGAATAGCCATGAAGCTCATCAAACGCGAAGTGATCATCCGATTTCTTTCAAACTCGGTACATCCTAATATTTCATCCCACACAAGACCTGGTGTGAAGATGATAGATATCGGAATTCTCCCTCTGACACCTCCCCCACATCGGGTCAGAATTTTGAATGATCGTGGAGCTCATAAAACGCAAAATAAACATCCGATTCTCTCAAAATTTCACACAAACAAATATTTTTTCCAATACAAGTTATAGTGCGAAGGTGATAGATATCGACCCACCCCTAGTGGTACCTCCCTCAAAAAGGGGTCAAATTTTTGAATGATCGTGAAGCTCATAAAACGCCAAATGAACATCCGACTATTTCCAAATTCGGCACATCCCATCATTTCATCCCACACAAGACCTGGTGTGAAGATGATATATATCGGAATTCTTCTTCTGACACTTCCCCCACGACGGGTCAGAATTTTGAATGACCGTGGAGCTCATAAAACACGAAGTGATCATCCGATTTCTTTCAAACTCGGCACATCCCAAAATTTCATCCCATACAAGACCTGGTGTGAAAATGATAGATAACGGCCTACTCCTTCTGATACCTCCCCCATATAGGGTTTAAAATTTTGAATAACAAAAACGCTCATAAAATGCGAAATAAGCATTGGATTCTCTTCGAATTTCGCACATCGCAATATTTCTTCCCACACAAGACCTGGTGTGAAGATGATAGATATCGGCCTACTCCTTCTGGTACCTCCCCCACATAGGGTTTAAAATTTTGAATAACAAAAACGCTCATAAAATGCGAAATAAGCATCCGATTCTCTTCAAATTTCGCACATCGCAATATTTCTTCCCACACAAGACCTGGTGTAAAGATGATAGATATCGGCCTATACCTTGTGGTGCCTCCTCCACAAATAGTCAAAATTTTAAATAATTATAACGCACATAAAATGCGAAATAAGTACTATTTAGTGCTTTTCGTATAATAATAGTACGTATTTCTAAAACCACCTCCATATACCGATTCCAGTTACAAGCAGAGAACTCAATATCAAATTATGGGATTCTAGATCTATTCCTTCACCCAATGCCAAATTTAGTATCATTTAGTACGTTTCGTATGAATATAGAATGCATTTCCAAACTACCATCAAATCCCAAAACCTTTTCTATCACAAACCTACCACAAAAGGATACCCCGTTCACAGTAAGGTTTACTGTCCAAATTAGTACAGTTCGGATACATTTCCAAAACCACCTTTATATATCAAATTATTTACCAACCTTGATTTTTATACGAATATTCAAGTTTTTAGCTCTATCGGTTTTTTGGAAATTGTTTTTATTAATACTTCTTTGAATATCAACGTTTCAAAAAGGAACTGAAATTCCCCTACGAGTTGTACTTACGGGTGTATACGTTGTGAAATAAAAACCAATATCACTTATACGCAACATGCTACTAGATTCGATGCTTGCCTCAAATCCTGCATTATAGCAGAGGAATGAATATTGACATTATTCTCTTATTTTATTTTTATTTATTTTTTTTTTCAAAACTTGCAAAAATCTGCTAGTTTTTAATTTTTTCGATATCAAAAAATAAAAACTATACCTTATTTCACGTCCTGGAACAGTACTATTATGTTTATTATTTATTTTCTAATTTATGTATATTTTAACATGAAATAGGGTCAAGGTTTTACTTTAATTATTAATTTGTTTACATTGCGGAATTTATTAAAAAAACGCTCTTCCAGTACCAATCTTAATTTTGTCCATAGTATTCGATTTAGATATGAAACGGAAAACATACCCCATTTTATCTATTGATCCGTTTTAAATATTCTTAGTCAAAGCAACACCCACACACACACAAACAAAGAAGAAGAAGGCAAGCCCTTTCTTTAAGCCAGCCAGTACATGCCCTCAGTAATAAAAGTAACCAAGTAAGCAGATATTATCCGATACAAAAACACACAGGTAAGGACGTCATCTCGGTAATCATGCACAACATCAACAACCTTACCACAGAATAAGCTACGCACACACATATGTGTGTGTATGTACACACACACTCTCACACACTGTATGCACTTTCATTGGCAATTTTCAAATGAATGAACGACGAAATGAATGCAACATTATTGGCATTTCAATTGATTATTTTTTGCCACACAAAGAAAGAGAGAGAGTGAGGGAGAGAGCGGCAGGGGCGAGAGCTGAGCTGATTGAAACCGACGCAACAACCATAAACAAAACGAGTAATGAACATTTTGTGTTACCTTAACAGAAATTTATTGTTAAATTATTGAAAAACAATTTCCTAATGAAAAATCTATCATCATTGCCATCGTCGTCGACGTTGACGTCGTCCTCGTCATCGTCATCAATATGAGAACTTGTAGCATAACACATTTTGCAAGGAGAGTGAGAGAGAGAGAGAAGTGCAACAACAGCAGCAATTTTTCATTGAAATTAATAAATGGGTGAATTGCAGTCATGGCAATTTATCTTCGTAAGAGGAAGCTAATAAAAGTAAGAAAAGCTGATTAGGGGCAACAACGGCCACATAACACCCTACATGAGAATCAAAATGGAATTAAGAAAAACAAAAGTTGGTTATCGAACAAGTTCTCTATTGAAAACTTTTCTTTTCTAACAGTAGACATGTTTTATACACATGTCTACTGTAAGAAAAGACATTTGCTCAGTTCTAGGACCTACAAAAAATGTAAAAATACTGCTATTATAACGGAAGTTTACTTTCTGGTATTTAAAAGAAATGGCAACACTTGTAGATTTTACAGGCAATGGAACATATCGAATATATCGATCATATTTAACTCAATAAACCTTGTTATCTAATACGATTTCCATTAAATAATATTATTTTTGTAGTTTTTCCCAATAAACGTAGTTATCGAACATACATATTTTGTAGATAAAACGCTGTTATCGAACTGATATTTTGAAGAAAATGCTATTATCAAAGAAGTTTTTTGTAATAAACTGTGTTATCGAACAAGTTTTCTTTAGTAAACTGTCTTATCGATTACGATTTCCATCGAAATCGAAATTATCGAACTAGTTTTATAAAGATTTTTAAGATTTTACTGAAAAGTAAGTTATCGAACATAGGAACCAGTTTTATCGAAAAAGTTATCATCGATAAAAGTTTCATGTACGACTTCCTTTTAAAAAAATTATTTGCGAAAATGTTTTCCTAAAATTGTAGCTATCGAAAATATTTCCTTTTTAAAACGTTGTTATCGAAAAAGATTTCTAAAGAAAATGCTGCTCTCAAACAAATTCTTTATTTGAAACTGCTT